AGTAGCTGGGATTACAGGCACGAGCCACCACACCTTGCTAATTTTGTATTTCTAGTAGAGACAGGGTTTCTCCATGTTGGTCAGGCTGTTGTCAAACTCCCAACTTCAGGTGATCTGCCCACTTCAGCCTCCCAAAGTGCTGAGATTACAGGCATGAACCACCACACACAGCTAGGAAGTTGTTTTTAAGATGCCGTAAGTGCTTTAATTCAGCCACAGAAACTGGCAGTTACCTGAAAGAAATATAAGAAACTAGGCTTTCCCGAGCTCGAAGTGTATGTGCTGTGACTGCAACGTGTCTGCAGGCCCAGGTGTCCGCGGAGCAGCGTGAGGAGGGTGAGGAGGGTGAGGAGGGTGAGGAGGGTGGGGAGGGAGGCTCAGTGAGACCAAAGCAGGCGATGCACAGCAGTGTGCTATCAGCTTAAGGATTTGGAACCTGTGTCTACAGGGCTTGTTTCTAATGTCTAGATAACAGGATGACATAGAACCATCTTCTATGATGGACTGGAGTTGAAGGGAGGCCTAGAAGACTGACCTTAAATACAACTGTATCTGTTTCACTGTTTTACTATGCAAAATTTGGGCCAGGCCCAGTGGCTCACTCCAGTAATCTCAGCACTTTGGAAGGCCGAGGCAGGAGGATCACTTGAGCCCAGGAGTTTCAGAGCAGCCTGGGCAACACGGTGAGACCCCAACTCTTAAAAAAAAAAAAAAGACTATGCAAAATCTAGGCCTTCTATATTATTTTTGTTTTGTCTTTGACAGAATAGTCCAGCTCCTCATAATACAGCTTTTCATTTTAAATGTGGGTGAAAAAATGCAGTGGGGCCATTACCCTCCCCCACCAAACATACAAATATCTAGCTTTGAACAGTGGTTTCGGGCAGGCGCAGTGGCCACGCCTGTAATCCCAGCACTTTGGGAGGCCGAGGCGGGTGGATCACTTGCAGTCAGGAGTTTGAGACCAGTCTGGCCAGCATGGCAAAACCCCATCTCTACTAAAAATACAAAAAAAGTAGCTGGGCATGGTGGTGGGCGCCTGTTGTCCCAGCTACTCGGGAGGCTGAGGCAAGAGAATCGCTTGAGCCCGGGAGGCGGAGGTTGCAGTGGGCCGAGATCGTGCCACTGCACTCCAGCCTGGTGACCGAACGGAACTCCTTCTCAAACAAAAACATGTGCAATGGTTGTTGAAAATGCAGATTCCTAGGCCTTACCCCAGACCTCCTGAATGTGAATCTGTATTTTAACAAACACTCCAGGAGATTCTAACGAACAACCAAGTTTAGAAACCAGCAGACCAGCTGTCTTGAGAGCAGGTAAAAACAACGGAACAGCATGCTTGTGCCTAACACAGAAGATGTGCTTTCTGGTGTGTGAAATGAGCCTGCTCTCCAGGAAAACACAGCCAGGTCAGGTGTCGGGTTTTCAGTAACGAAAGAAGTTTCATCTGGGAAAACCAATGGTGTCTTTGTAAACAAATTCAATGGAAATGGATATAACCTCCCCTAAAATGGAGAAATGATGCAAAATATTCCTGTTAGGAATCATGGAAACAGTCCCTTCTGAGAACACATAAGAGCTTTGTTTAAGCAGACAGCTGGCAGCAGCAATCACGTTGTCCTGTTCCTTGTTTTGGCCAGGCCAATGGCCCAAGGTCTTGGGAATCCTTAAACAGCAGATAACTGGTGCTGCTGTTGCTTGGGTGGGGCAAGTTCCAGGAGAGCCTGGACCGTCACTGCAACCTGGCTCAAACCTTTCTCTTCTAAAATGTGGAGAGGCAAACATAATTGCTCCTGAAATGGGACAACGCAACACACAAACAAAAAGAAAATCAATGAGTTTCACAGAACTGAAAGGAAAAAGCAAGCACTTCTCCCCTTCATAATAATCAATGAAGATAAGAAAATGTAGTACCTGGGACACCGACCTCAGTGGAAATCTGAGTGAGATATAGATGGTGACTGACGCTCACTGTCACTTTATTAATACAACTAAAAGTACATACAGATAATTTTCAAAATTGGGAAATTGACAAGTAGCGTATATTTATACATACAGCAGAGGAAAAACAGTACTGCAGTGTGAAAGCAACATCCTTTATTCTCTGATGAATAAAAGGCCAGTGCACATCTATAAAATAGGAAATGTGAAAAATAGAAAAACAATTCCACGCTACCAGATGGCTCAAGACTGAAAGATTTACACTTTAGCAGAAAGCACTTTGTAAGTTCCCTACCACAGGAATGCAAGATAGTTTGAAAACATAACTCAGCCTGCATGAGTTCTACACTATCTGCATGATAATCCTGACTATGAAAACCAGGGTTCCCAAGGCCAGGCAGGGCAAGAAACTCAGTGTATCCTGAGCTCTTGAGATTTAGATGTGTTTGAGAAACTTCCCCCTAATTTGAATAATTCATGGAAGGGCCTGTCTGAATTAAAAATCTGAATTACAGAATTAAAAAGAAATAGTATTTGAAAATGTAAAGTATTTAATATCCTGGTATTTAACAGCCTGAATTATTCCAGGGAACTACTACCTAAGCTTTGGCAGGAATATGTTGATTACCAACATCTGTAAAGTGTTTACAATGTTTGCTTAAGGAAGTTAAGTAATACATCGAGTGTGTGCGCATCATTAATTTGTTAGGTTAATCCTTTCTTCTGAGAGAAAAAGGCAAATCTTAAGAACAGCACTTATCACTGGCTTTCTGTTAAGAGTAAATATTCAGAAAGAAAAGAGATTGCTCTTACAAAGAACAGAATATAGAATTCTGGTTCCACTAAAAAAGGATTACACATGTTTGTTAAAGAAGACAACTAGTTTTTTTTTTTTTTTGCTTTTCATTGAGACAACATTACTACGAAATTTTACAAAACCAGTTACAATAAAATATATAACAAGTATTTATTTTTGAGGCAGTTACTGGTACTTGTGCTTACTTTTTATTTAATACTTATCTTGATAAAATGAGGTAACTGTAATCTTTTGATCTAATAAAACTAGCAACTTTGTAGAAATACTGAGTGCAACTGCACGTCTAGATAAATTATTTTTAAAATGAACCTGCTGAGCGTTTTGTTTTGCTGTCGGAAGAGACGTGCTTTCTCCAAGGCTGATCCCCTGATCTCTTCCTCTCAGTAGCGCCCTAGGACCTGTGTGGCCTGGCGTTTACACTCAGAAGCCTATGCTTTCTAGAGCACACTTACCTTCCAGCTGGGCTACAGGGAGTGCTGTGTGTTCTCAAGAGAATGTACAATTACAACCCCTAAACCATGAGAGCCTGTGTGTGTTTTTTAACAGGTGTTCCAACTCTGAGACATCTTAAAAATAAAACCAACCCAACTCCCCAAAGTCTGAAAGGCACCTACTAACACAGAAAACTGCAGTTTTCATCATCACAGTGTTTAGTGTTTGAGCATTAACAGTGAACAGTCTTTTCACCTGTGAAAATAGCTGTCCCATTTCATATGGAAGAAAACCAAAGCAATAAGCCTCTCAGGCTGAATTCTACAACTGCATGTCGTGCTCCTCACAATCTCTCCTCCTACTTGAGTTCATTCTTTATCCCAATTTTGTTAACACAGTTCAGAAGTTTCCTGAATATTCAGAAACACCACTTATGAAATTAGAATCTAACCACAATTATAAAGTAGTTTCCAGCATTAATGTCTAGCAGCTAAATGCTAAGCATTCAGAAAGAACCAGACAGTATTCACTGCCTTGAGTACAGAACAGGGACTGCTGCCCTACTACTTCTCCTGCTACAGTTTCACTATTAAGAAGGTTAGAAATCACATAAATTCCCATTTTAAACAGAATGCTGGGAGTGAGTCTCAGTTACACATAACAAACACAGTCAATCTGGCCAGGTGCCCACCCTGAGAGGCCAGCTCCAGCCCATCTGCTCGTGTGCACCACGTGCAACGTATGGATTGGGCTCAGAATAGCAGTCTAGGAAATCCACGTGATCTTTAAACTGAACATTCTGACCAAACTAAAATTATTAAAATGACGGCCAATACCTTCCAAACGTCCAGACCGCAAATGCTCAGACGGACCTGTGCCTACCAAGGGGGGATTCAGGGTTTCCGGACACAGTTCAAAGCAGAAAGCTAAGTGACCGGGTCCTGCCAAAACCAGAAAAGGCACGATGATCTTCCTCATGAGCAGCTGCTGAAAAGGCTCAGTCACTCCACAATGTCAACACTTGTGCTGAGACATGGAAAAATGGCCAATGGGGGTTGTACTGTGTGACTTGGAAATAAAGCTCTACATGTCATATTCGAAGTACAAGCTCAGAATTGTATTAGTAAAAATGCTTCAGCGTTTATGGGAAGAGAAACAAGGCCGCAGGCCAGGAGAATGGGCGGATGGCCAGGAGAAAAAGATGCTGGTCTTTTACTCTTTGTCAGCAAAATGTCTGCTAATGCAACAAGTTCACGCCAGAGAACTTCATGCTAAGTTTTGTCTATAAAAGAAATTAATATTTTGTACTAAGTGATGTCTATATAAGAAATCAATATTTTCTGTTTGGTATTGTGAAGGTGTGTGGTTTGTGGCTTATGTATAAAGAACTTTTTGTGTAGGAGTGACAGGCTGCACATCTGCAAAAAGGATTTGTCTCCTTTACCGGTGAGCTCTTTGAGGGCCAGCGGGGAGAAAAAGCACTTATATAAATAATTCTGAATGACAAACAAACCTCCTTTACCCAGCACAGGAATGAGGTGGAAAGTCACCGGAGTGCAATCTTTCAGCTAGAGGGGAAGAGCCAGTAATAAAGCATACAGAGAGTTAACATGACAGTACAGTAAAATGCCACAAAACCCAGAAGCTGGATAGAGAGACAGACAAAACTGGATTCTTCTGAGTGTGCCCCAAGAGAAAGTAGTGTTTCAACAGTTCTTTTAACGCTGAGGTTTAGCTGAAGGATGTCGGAAGGGGAACAAAGATTGTCCTGTCCAAAGTGTGAGCAGGAAAGGAAAACAGAAAAACAAAGTCAGTGGATCAGAAATGCAGATCTGAGTAGAGAATTCAACATGATCATCTCAGTCATATTCACATATACACATCCTGTAACATTTTTACCTTGAGGAACAAAAATAAAACGCTGAAAACCCAAACTACAAAGATTCTTCTATATGCTGATCTTACTACTAAATAGCAGAATAAAATTTGCGTGTCGGTGACTAGTCTGAACATTACGAATACAATACACAGGCCGGGCGCGGTGACTCACGCCTATAATCCCAGCACTTTGGAAGGCTGAGGTGGGCGGATTACGAGGTCAGGAGATCGAGACCATCCTGGCTAACACGGTGAAACCTCGTCTCTACTAAAAATACAAAAAGTGAGCTGGCAGAGGAGCCGGCGCCTGTGGTCCCAGCTACTCGGGGGGCTAAGGCAGGAGAATGGTGTGAACCCGGGAGGCGGAGCTTGCAGTGAGCCGAGATCGCACCACTGCACTCCAGCCTGGGTGACAGAGCGAGACTCCATCAAAAAAAAAAAAAAAAAACACCAATACCATACACAGAAGTGGATGTTGGTTTAGGGTCGTGTGAGGCCTGAGAGTAGTGAGGTGTGTGGGAAGCAACGTCTCTCCTGACTCATTCTCCTCTATTAAAAAAAAAGTAGGTCAGAAAGCAAGGACAAAAACTGCAGAGGCTGAGGTGAGGGACGTTTTCGGAGAAAGCCAGGTCCATCAAAAAGGTTCAAAGACTGAGGAAAGCCTCATGATCTGGGTGCAGTTTACTGCCTAGAAGCCAAACGCATTCAATGACTTGGCATTCCTCTAAAAATCAGGGGGTGTCTATTGTAACCAAGTCCAGCTCAAGAATGCGTTCGAAATGAACATAGAGCTGGTAAGGGCCTCAGAGATCATCCAAACCCTCCATTTTACAGATTGCAAAATTCACTAAATAAATACAAACATCAGTGGACTTGACAACAGGGAGACATCCTTTAACACATAACATAACAACTCTGGGACAACAGATACTGGACTCAGATATAAGTTTTTAATCACCCATTATGGTTTTTTTGAATGTAGCATATTTAATAAAAGCATAAAAATAAAGCAAATACCCATATGCCCAGTGTCATCAGAGGTTTTTAATAACTGCCTTGTCCTTTAGTATTTCATTCATACTTTAACTTGTATAACACTTTAAAAGTTATACAGAGAAAGGAAATTATTTGTCTTTATATATCTCATCGGGGTATAGAATCTGACAAAATACTTATAATACTGTTTTCTGTTTTACATTTTCAAAAGTGATCATTATTACCTTCCCAATTTTCTTTTTTTTTTTTTTTTTTTTTTTTGAGACGGAGTCTCGCTCTGTCACCCAGGCTGGAGTGCAGTGGCGCTATCTCGGCTCACTGCAAGCTCCGCCTCCCGGGTTCACGCCATTCTCCTGCCTCAGCCTCCCGAGTAGCTGGGACTACAGGGGCCCACAACCGCGCCCGGCTAATTTTTTGTATTTTTTTTTTTAGTAGAGACGGGGTTTCACTGTGGTCTCGATCTCCTGACCTTGTGATCCGCCCGCCTCGGCCTCCCATGAGCCACCGCGCCCGGCACCTTCCCAATTTTCAAGTCACACAGAGCAAAATGGGGATGTTTAAGTGAAGGCCAGAATGACCAGAAGCACAGGAGGAAAAGGAAGAAGGGGAGGTAGAAGTTTCTTCTCTTCCTTTGGCAGTGGGACCTGAGAAGGCGAGCTTGAACCTCTGAGTTTGTGCGTTTATTCATTTTCTTTCACTTTGTTCTAGACAAATGATTAATTTTTCAGCAGCAGTAGCAGCATACTAGGAACCCGTCTAAAACTGGCAGTGGTTGTGGTGGGGACCTGGGTGGAGGGCGGAAGGCGGAAGCGGAGAAGGAAGGGGCAGCCTGTGAGGAATGTCCACTTCCTCTTTGTGGAGGGAGAGGGAGGGAGGATGCCTCAAAACCTCAGTCTAACCACTCTGGAAAAAGACTCAGTCTTTTAAAACTGTATTATTTTTTTCTCTGTACTTGCCTTCCAACAGCACAGCTCTGGTAGGAACAGGGGCAAGCTGGCCCATAATAAACATGGTCACCCACGGCATACCAGTGGACAGGTACAATGACTGTAATCGCTGGTAAACAGTACTTTTAACAGGTTTTGACACTGGTTGGGTCAACATGACTTGTCTGAGCGGGGCCATATTCAGCACTCTCCTATCAATTTCGCAGTTCCCATTCTGCACCAACCCATGCCATACTCTACTCTGGCAGGGAACTAGAGCAGACACTAGATGGTTGTGTAGCAGGAACCTCTTCAGGAAGCAGAAGGGAAGAACTGGAGGCTAATGTGCACCTATTAGAACAAACTTGTTTAAAAGAACGTATGTTGTTTCTTCAGAAGCCGTATTCAGTGCTCTCAAAATATTTAAAAAGGTCTGTTCTAAAAGAGGAGTCTTTATCAAACAACATAACATAAACATGAAAATTTTGCTTTGAATTTGTCCATAGGAATCAAAAAGGTCTTTGCTAACTACCACTTTATGTAAATTTCCATTCTTTTACAATTCAGTTTTTAAAAAGAAAAAACAGCAAAAGAAAAAAGTAAAAAATAAATAGTAGAATGATGATCTACCTTCATAAGAGAAAAACCACCCTGGGAATCCTGCTGGCTGATGCAGATGCTCTGTGGAGCTGGGCGCTCTTTCACTTTGTAACACGTGAAAGAGCTGAAAGAGAAGGTCACTCTTTGGACAAGTGACGCTGAGGCCTTTCTAACTCCTGGTTAGTTAGAAAGAGGTGTGAAATGCGTAAAGAGAATCACTGTCATGAAAGCTAGAGGAACAGGATCTAAACTCTGAGAGAAATGGTGGAGCTGCTGCTGAGCCCCAGGGCCACCCCTGAGTTACTGAGACCTAATTAGAAGGTGATAGAAAAGAGTCATGTTTTCCTCCTTCATGCTATAGACAAAATGTTAACAAGACTTGTAATGGTCGTGGTTAATGAAAAAGTATCGCACGGCACCAAGTTGTTTATTTCTTTAAATTTGTCTTTATACCATGTAATATTCCTTAGTAGTATAGCTTCGTTGGTTTACTATAATTGCTTTTTAAAGGGGTTATTGATTAAGAGTATATCAAGTTTACTTCCCTTAATCACATCTATAAATAAATTTAACTATTGGTAATATTAAAGGGCAATAAAGTTATAACTGAGCTGGAGGCAACAAATCCTCACAGCAGGACAACAGCTCAGAGACAGCCTGTTTGTTGCAAGCTCCAAAGAACGAGCTTCCTGGAAGGAGCGATGGATCCGAGTGAAGCCCATTCAGTTAGTCGTGCTCCCGTCACTCAGTTAGTCGTGCTCCCGTCACTCAGTTAGTCGTGCTCCCGTCACTCAGTTAGTTGTGCTCCCGTCACTCAGTTAGTCGTGCTCCCGTCACTCAGTTAGTCGTGCTCCCGTCACTCAGTTAGTCGTGTTCCCGTCATTCAGTTAGTCGTGTTCCCGTCATTCAGTTAGTCGTGCTGTTCTCGCGTTACTTAATCTGAACCACCGTCCTAAGGTTGTATATCAGGTGTTAGTTAACATTAGAAGAAATAAGTGAAGTATACAAAGGAACGCTAGGCTGTCTTTTCAACATTTCTGGAGTCTAAAACATTTTAAAAAGTATCAAAGCAAAGGTCAGAACACCGAGGCCAGCTGCAGCACTCTCCATCTGGGATAGACTGAGTTTTTGAAGGATGTATTTGGTTGTCAAATAGCAAGTGGGAAAGTTTAGGAAAATAGAATAATTACTCTAAATTACTTATAATTATTTCAATTTATACATTTATAATTTCTTTGTGTGGTCCTTGGAAATAATTAAGGAAAACTGTTCAAAAGTATACTGACTCTTGTAACCCAAAGTCATGTTAATTAGGATCGACTTAGCTCAGAGCTAGTCCTGTAAGATTTTAGAGATTTGCATTTCTAAAATTTTAGCACAACCAAGTCTATTTAGGCAACATAAAAAATGATAAATTTATTACCTGAGGTACACCAATTTTTCTGCAAGCTTCTAGGAAATTCTCCACATTTCGCCTGCATTTCGCCATTGTTAATTTAGGCTGAAATGAGGAAAAGAAAATGTGTTACTAGAGAAGTTTTGTTTTTGGGACAGGGTCTCGCTCTGTCACCCAGTCTGGAGTGCAGTGGCGCAAGCTTGGCTCCCTGTGTCCTTGACCTCTCGGGCTCAGGTGATCCTCCCACCTTAGCCTCCCAAGTAGCTGGCTATAGCTGCAAGCCGTCATACCTGGGTAATTTTTGTACAGACAGGGTTTCACCACATTGCCCAGGCTGGTCTTGAATTTCTGAGTTCAAGCAATCTGCCTGCCTCAGCCTCCCAAAGTGCTAGGATCAGAGGCATGAGCTACAGGCCCAGCCTGCTAGCAACATTAAAAAATATTTGCTAACTTTAAAAATACCCTTGGCAATCGCTTCGTAACGCTCATATAGACTAGGGGGTCGGCAAACTTTTCTTTAAAGGATCAGATAATAAACGTTAGTTTTGAAGGCCACAAGAACTGTTTCAACGCCAGATGCAGTGGCTCAGGCCTGTAATCCCAGTACTTTGGGAGGCCAAGGCGGGCGGATCACCTGAGGTTGGGAGTTTGAGACCAGTCTGACGAACATGGAGAGACCCCGTCTCTACCAATAATACAAAAATTAGCCGGGTGTGGAGGTGGGCACCTGTAATCCCAGCTACTCGGGAGGCTGAGGCACAAGAATTGCTTGAACCCGGGAACCCAGGAGGCAGAGGTTGTGGTGAGCCGAGATCGCGCCACTGCACTCCAGCCTGGGCAACAAGAGGGAAACTCCGTCTCAAAAAAAAAAAAAAAAAAAAAAGAGAACTGTTGCAACCACTCAATTCTGCTAGGAGCTTGAAAGCAACTATAGACAATATGCAAACAAGAAAGTGTGGCTGGGTTCCAATGAAACTTTATTTACAACAATAAGTGCTGGCTTGTGGGCAGTAGCTTGTCACCTCACACTTTAGAAATTGGCTTTGATTTTGTAAGGCAAGTACTAAATAGAAAAACTCTGAAAGAATAAAAAAAATTTTTTTTTCCATTTTAAAACAATGTAACACTAAAGCAGCAGTCCTCAACCTTTTTGGCACCAGGGACGGGTTTCATGGAAGACGATTTTTCCATGGACAGGGGTGGAGTTGGGGGATGGTTTCAGGATGATTCAAGCACATTACATTCATTGTGTATTTTATTTCTATTGTTACATTACAATATATAATGAAATAATCATACATAATGAAATCTACCATAATGTAGAGTCAGTGGGAGCCCTGGGTTGTTTACCTGTAACTACATAGTCCCATCTGGGGGTGACAGGAGACAGTGATAGATCATCGGGGATTAGATTCTCGTAAGGGGCACGTGACCTAGAGCCCTTCCTCGCATGCACAGTTCACACCAGCCTTCAGGCTCCGAGAATCTAACACTGCTGCTGATCTGACGGGAGGCAGAGCCCAGGCGGTGATGTGAGTAATGGGGAGAGGCTGTAAATACAGATGAAGCTTTGCTCACTGGCCCACTGCTCACCTCCTGCTGTGCGGCCCAGTTCCTAACAGGCCACAGACTGGTACCCATTTGTGGCCCAGGGGTTGGGGACCCCTGCACTAAAGAAAACTTGGAGGAACAGCCAAAAAAATTAATTACCCATAGTTCATCATGTAAATATAACTACAACACTTGATTCATTTCCTCTCAGTCTTTTTCTTTCTTTCTCTTTTTTGAGACAGAGTCTTGCTCTGTCACCCAGGCTGGAGTGCAGTGGCGCGATCTTGGCTCACTGGAAGCTCCACCTCTCGGACTCAAGTGATTCTCCTGCTTCAGCCTCCCGAGTAGCTGGGACTACAGGTGTGCACCACCACACACAGCTAATTTTTGTATTTTTAGTAGAGATGCAGTTTCACTATGTTGGCCAGGATGGTCTCAATCTCTTGACCTTGTGATCCGCCCACCTCGGCCTCCCAAAGTGCTGGGATTACAAGCGTGAGCCACTGCACCCGGCCCTTTCTCTCTTTTTTAGGGTCAGGGTCTCGCTCTGTTGCCCAGGTTGTTCTGCAGTGGCATGATCGTGGCTCACTGCAGCCTCAAACTCCTGGGCCCAGGGGATCCTCCTGCCACAGCCTCCTGAGTAGTAGGTGCACACCTAATTTTTTAAAGTTTTTTTGTAGAGACAGGGTCACTATATTGCCCAGGCTGGTCTTAAACTCCTGGCCACAAGTGATCCTCCTGCCTGTCTCCTTCTCAGCTTCAGCTTGATCCCACAGGGAGCTCACAAGTGTGAACCACATGACACTCCCTCCTTGAGGTAGGAGGGCTCAGCCCCATGCTTGTCAGTCATTGGCTATAGGCTAGGGTAAAAGCAAGGTGGCCTACGACAGGTCCCTAAAATACATTGGGGGAAGAGTATATGACATCTGTAAGTTTTGGATGTGTAGTTAAAATACACATACAAATATAGATACATAAAGCAAGTATGGCAAAATGCAAGCAATGTCACAGCTAAGTGTAGACTTTAATAGTGTTCGTTGTATGATTCCTTCCACTTTTCTGAAGGTTGAAACTTTCTCACGATAAAAACGTGAGGAAAACAGAGGAGAGGTGTGTCAACCCAAAGCCTGTTCTTTTGTGGATTGCCATCTGATACTGATGTCCAGACCTGACCAGCAGTGCAGAGAACCTGCCAGTTATCTCGAATACGTTTTCTCCCTCACCTTCCACCTGAGGTTGGTCACAGATCATGGCAATTTTACCTCTGAACCATCTTCCCTTTCACTGCCCTATTAATCCAGGCTTGTTATCCTCCTGGCCTGGACTAATACAACAGTCTTTTAATTGGGCATCTTTCTTTTCTTTTTTCTTGAGACGGAGTCTTGCTCTGTCTTGCCCAGGCTGGAATATAGTGCAGCGGCGCGCTAGCTCACTGCAGCCTCCGCCTCCTGGGTTCAAGTGATTCTCCTGCCTCAGCCTCCCGAATAGCTGCGATTACAGATGTGTGAACCACTCCTGGCTAATTTTGTATTTTTAATAGAGATAGGGTTTCACCATGTTGGCCAGGCTGGTCTCGAACCCCTAACCTCAGGTGATCCACCAGCCTCGGGCTCCCAAAATGCTGGGATTACAGGCGTGAGCCACTGCACCCAGCCTCTTTTCCTTTTTCTTTTAAGAAACAAGATCTTGCTATAGCACCCAAGCTAGTCTCAAACTCCTGGGCTCATAGGATCCTCAGGCCTCAGACTCCCAAGTAGCTGGGACTACAGGCACGAGCCACTGAGCCTGGCTGGGGCATCTTTCTAGTGTACCACCTTTAATTTATCCATTTCTCACTTAGCACGAAATTCATTTTTTTTCTTTTTTCTTTGAGACAGGGTCTTGCTCTCTCACCCAGGCTGGAGTGCACTGGCACAATCACCACTCACTGCAGCCTCGAACTCCCAGGCTCAAGTGATCCTCCCACATCAGCCTCCTGAGTAGCTGGGACTATAGGCACGTGCCACCATGCCCAGCTAATTTTTGTATTTTTGATAGAGACGGGTTTTGCCATATTGTCCTGGCTGGTCTCAAACTCCTGGGCTCAAGCAATCCGTCTGCCTCGGCCTCCCAAAGTGCTAAGATTATAAGCATGAGCCACCGCGCCCAGCCTAGATTCATCATTCTAAACTGCAATTATAATCATGGTATTCCCTCTTTAATTCAGTGTTTCCTCATTGTCTGTACTAGGGTAAACTTTCTTGACATGCTTCATAAGACCTTTGTACCACAGCCCCAGCTTACCTCTCTAGCCTTACCCCTTCCCATTTTTATCTACAACCCTGTGCATGATCCATTCTGAACAATTTACCAATTCTTTAAGTAAGCCATAACTTTCCTTAGCTTCTGAATCTAGAAATCCTATGCCCAGAAGGCCTCCTTCCCTCTCTGTACTGCTGGAAAATTCTTTCTTAAACTTCAAGAATTAGTTCAAATTTTGCCCATTCTGGGAAGGCTTCCCTGAACTCTCCAGGCGGGTTAAGTGGCCCGTTTTTGTATCCCTATAACACACATTGTACACGCCTTTCTTAGAACATTTACCACACTGCATACATGTCTGTTTCTTCTCCAGTAGAAGGGAGACCAGGAAGGTAGAGACTGGACTCTTTATATCTGTATCCTTAATATCTAGCACAGTGCTTAAGAAATGTCTGTCCACTGTGCTTAACAAATGATCTGATGAATAGCCAAGGCTTTTTAGCATTATCAACTTACTACAGCTGGTGAGGGAACGTGAATGCTTGGGACAGATCGAGGTCGCACATGATTAGCCAAATGGCAAAGAACAACACCATCAGTTAGAGCTGCTCCAAGATCACAAGGCAGAGACACTTTCAACCGGTACTCAATATGCTGAAAGAACAAAAACCACGTAATACGTTAACTGAAGAATGATTGACATATACATAAGGGAGTTACAATGAAATCTAATTAGAAATCAAGATAAAAAGGAAATAAGTACCACAATATCCATTTCATCCCTCTATCCTAAGTCTAACTTAAGGAGATCTAATATATATGAATGGCAGCCAGGCCATAGTGGTACAAAGTACAACAAAAATTCATTTACAACTTTCTGATTTAAAAAAAAAAACTAGATTCTCCTTCAATTCCAAAATAAAGTCAAGAGCCAATCACTCCCTATAGGTGTAAGTGTGGTATTTATATTGTGTGCACACACATATAAATTATTAATCTGACGATATTTCTTTATAACATGAAGTAGAAAAAAAAGGAAAAACTTTAAATGAGTAGAGCTAGGAACTGAGCTTTATAGAATAAGCCATCTCATTTTTTAAGTAAATCGCTGAAAAGAATTTCCTTAATAGTAAAGTGTTTTACATTCATCACAAAACATGGCACACAATGGCACCTGTTGATTCCATTAAAAATTACAGCCGGGCACGGAAGCTCATGCCTGGAATCCCAGCACTTTGGGAGGTGAAGGTCAGTGGATCACCTGAGGTCAGGAGTTCAAGATCAGCCTGGCCAACATGGTGAAACTCCTTCTCTACTAAAAATACAAAAATTAGCTGGGTGCAGTGATGGACACCTATAATCCCAGCTACTCAGGAGGCTGAGGCAGAAGAACTGCTGGAACCCAGGAAGCACAGGCTGCAGTGACCCAGGATCGCGCCACTGAACTCCAGCCTGGGTGACAGAGCGAGACTCCGTCTAAAAAAATAAATAAATAAAAATGATCTGTCAAATCAAGACCTGATTACAGGATTATGGTCTACAGCAGTAACACTGAAAAAGTATAAATCAAAGGCAATGTACATACTTTACGCAGTTGATCTATTAATTCCAGCTCTTCTTCTCTCTGTCTTGAATTCTGTCTTGTTATGGAATCTGCAGAATCAGTGGTAGGTGCAGCAGATGGAGGAAGGGGTGAAGCATGACCTATAAAAATATTAATATGTAAGACAGAAAGGCAACTGGCAGTGCTAGGAAAACATTCAGATCTGCCTCATCACAGTTTTCCTGCAAGCACACTATATTGCTTCCTACTTTCCGGATTGACTTTTCAAAAGGGCTTTTACTATGGAGATTTTCAAATATACACAACAGAGAATAGTATAGAAAACTACATAATGTTCGTTACCCAGTTGACTCAACTACTTGTGTTTGATTACAGCCACTTAAAAATGTTTTTATTGAAAATTAATACACATACAGAAAAATAAACAAATCGTAAGCACAGTGCTCAATAAATTCTCCTCACCAAGTGAACACAATCAGGTTTATAAATGCAGTCTTACCCATCCCAGGGTCCCCTTCCGTGCTCCTTGCCCACAAGCACCCAAAGTGCTCAAAACCACATCCTGACTTCTAACACTCTGACTGGTTTGGTTCATTTTTGAACTTTGTATAAATTATGCTGTATTGTATGTGTTCTTTTGTTTCTGGCTTCCTTTGAACAATGGCATGTTTGTGAGATTTATCCATGTTGCTGTATACAGGAATTGGTTCATTTTCATTGCTTACATGGTATTCCGTTGTACAAATATACGACAATTCACTTATCCATTCTATTGATGGACATTCAGTTTCCGGCTCTTATGAATAATGCTACTATGAATATTTGTGTACGTTTCTGGCACACGTGTGTACATATTTCTCAAAAGTAAAACTGCTGGTCATAGGATACACAGTCATCCCTAAGTATCCAGGGGAAACTGGTTCCAGAAACTGCCCCTCACTCTCATAACAAACTTGGTGAATCCTCAAGTCACTCATATAAAATGTAGTATTGTTTGCAGACAAACTATGCATATCCTCCTTTATACTACACTTTAACTCATCTCTATAACTTACCTCATATAATGTAAATGCCAAACTGTTACTATATTTCGTAATTTGTATTATTTCTTTATTGTGGCATTGTTTATTATTGTTGTCTTGTTTCCGAACTTTTCTGTCCATGACTGGTCGAACCCATAAATACAGCATCCGAGGGTACGGAGGCTGACTGTTAACAGTCTTCCATGCTTTCTTACACTCTTACCAGCAGTGCATCTGTAGTCTGACTTTTAAATCTTACTGCGAATCCATCTGTTGGTAACATTAAAGGTAAGTTGTGTTTTTTTGTTTTTTTTTGAGACAGGGTTTTACTTTGTCACCTAAGCCAGAGTGCAGTCGCGCAATCTTGACTCACTTCAGGCCTCAACCTCCTGGGCTCAATCCTTCCTCCCGCCTCAGTCCCCCAAGTAGCTGTGACTACAGGTCTGCACCACCATGCCTAATATATATATATATATTTGAGATGGAGTCACACTCTGTTGCCCACGCTGGAGTACAGTTGTGCAATCTCGGCTCACTGCAAGCTCCGCCTCCCAGCTTCATGCCATTCTCCTGCCTCAGCCTTCCGAGTAGCTGGGACTACAGGCGCCCACCACCACGCCCGGCTAATTTTTTTTGTATTTTTAGTGGTGACGGGGTTTCACTGTGTTAGCCAGGATGGTCTCGATCTCCTGACCTTGTGATCCGCCCGCCTTGGCCTCCCAAAGTGCTGGGATTACGGGCATGAGCCACCGCACCCGGCCAATTTTTTGTTTTTTTTTTTAAGAGACAGGTTTTGCCATGTTGCACAGGCTGGTCTCGAACTCCTGAGCTCAAGTGATCCCACCTACCTCGACCTCCCAAAGTGCCAGGATTACACGCATGTGCCACCACGCCTCGCCTATTTTTAAATTTTTGTTGAGACGTAAGTTTCACACTGTCATCCAGGCTGGAGTGCAGTGGCGCAATCTCAGCTCACTACAACCTCCACCTCCTGGGTTCAAGGGACTCTCTGCCTCAGCCTCCCAAGTAGCTGGGATTACAGGCGCCTGCCACCATGCCTGGCCAGTTTTTTTGAGACATGCTCTTAACTCTGTCCCCCAGACTGGAGTATAGTGGCGCCATCTTGGCCCACTGCAACTTCTGGCTCCCAGGTTCAAGAGATTCTCCTGCCTCAGCCTCCTGAGTAGCTGGAATTACAGGCACCTGCTGCCACGCCCAGCTAATTTTTGTATCTTTTCAGTAGAGATGGGGTTTCACCATGCTGGCCAGGCTGGTCATGAACTGACTGATGTGATCTGCCCGCCTTGGCCTCCCAAAGCGCTGGGATTACAGGTGTGAGCCAGCGTGCCCAGCCAATTTTTGTATTTTTAGTAGAGACAGGGTTTTGCCATGTTGGCCTCCTGACTCAAGTGATCTGCCTTCCTCGGCCTCCCAAAGCGCTGGGATTACAGGCGTGAGCCACCACGCCTGACCTTATTTTTGTTTTGTTTTTTTTTAAGAGACACAGTCTTGCTCTGTTGGTCAAGCTGGAGAACAGTGGTGCTTTTAATTATAACTCACTGTAACCTTGAACTCCTGGACTCAAGCAATCCTCCCCGCCAGCCCCCCAGGTAGCTGGGACCACAGGCACACACCACCATGACAAAAGTCGTTATTTTTGACTTAAAATGTTTGTTTCCACTCCCAGGTAACTTCTTTGGGACCAGGGAGAAATCTGTCATTATTAACTAAAAGAACATGAGATTTTAAGTAGATTTTTAAAAAATTAATTAAGAAAACAGCTTTTATCAATAGAAAAATGTGAATGAGTTCATTACCAAGACAAAGAACATTCTTTAAAGCCTTGAAACAGCATTTTATTTGTTCAAACACTCTATAACCTGCTTTTAGGTGTTACTAAGAAACTTTCTAATCCAAACAAATTCAGGTAAGATTTTCCTGCTTTAATATCAGTGAGATCACAGACACATGCTTTTGTCAAGCTGAGAGTCTGGTGTAGAAGTTTAAAAGCATCCATTTAACAGCTAGCGTCATTGTGCAAACCTCCCCTCGCCCCTGGCTTTTCAAATCACTACCACCTACCTTTGCTGGCTTCTGCCCTGCCACCTGCTCGGAAAAGGAAGCTTTCAGGGCGCTGAGGCTGATTTCTCTGGATAGCAGCAGGAAAAGCATATGCGGAGGAATGATGAACTAAATCAGCATGAAAAGTAAAATGAGATTAAAGGAGATGAAAAGAAAATATAATAGCAGACATACAAGTTACAAAAGTAGCAAGTAAAAAATAAAATTAAACATGGCAAAGATATAAAATAATCCTATTTAATAATGAAAAGTCTGGTACAGAAAAGTAATCATGAAAGCAGGAGGCCTGCTTGTATGTATTTTACACTGTCATGTTATTTTTGGTGTATCAATACAGGCAGAATGAATGCTAACGTACTGAACAGTCTCCTGCAGACCTATGGCCCTGCTAGCTGTTGTTCACTTACTCATATCAAATGGCTGACGAGCTGAACAACCAATTTAATTTAAAAATGGGGCAAAAAAAACCCAGTGGTTTCCAATTCTGTATCTGATTTCTATCTCAGTCGCAGCTCTCTAACAAGTAATTTAGGAAAATCTTGGTAAAAAATTATAATCTTGGCAGGGTGCTGTGGCTGACATCTGTAATCCCAGCACTTTGGGAGGACAAGGCAGGAGGATCACCTTGAGCCCAGGAGCTTGAGATCACCCTGGTCAACATAGAAAGGCCTTGTCTCTATTTATTATTATTTTTTAAATAAAAAGAATAAAGAATTATAATCTTGATGTGGTAAAGTGCACCTTTGTGTCTATTACCTGTTTCTGTTGTAGGTGAACTTAATAGAGTATTAGGTCTGTCATCACTCTGTGGAGAAACAGACATATATCAATAATTGTTACTCAAGAAGAAATACTTTCTACTTTTATGGTAATTTTGAAATTATAAAAGACAAAAAACAGGTAACTCTCCTTCACGATTAAGCCTAGAGATGAGAATTGGGGCCAGGTACGGTGGCTCGTGCCTGTAATCCCAGTACTTTTGGAGGCTGAGGTGGGAGGATTACTTGAGAGCAGGAGACCAGCCGAGGCAACATAGCGAGACCCTGTCTCTACAAAACATTTAAAAAATGAGTCAGACCTGGTGGTGTGTTCCTGTAGAGGCTGAGGTGGGAGGATTATCTGAGCCCAGCAATTAAAGGCTGCAGTGAGCTATGACTGCGCCACTGCACTCCAGCCTGGGTGACAGAGGGAGACTCACTCTCTTTTTCTCTCTCTCTTTTTGAGACAGGGTCTCACTCTTGTCACCCAGGCTAGAGTGCAATGGCATGATCTCCTAGGCTCAGGTGATCCTTCTACCTCAGCCTCCCAAGTAATTAGGAGCATATCACCATGCCCAGTTTTGTATTTTTTGTAGAGACAGGCTCTTGCCATGTTAGCCAGGTTAGTCTCAATCTCCTGAGCTCAAGTGATGAACCTGCCTCAGCCTCCCAAAGTGCTGGATTATAGGCATGAGCTACCGTGCCTGGCCTGACCCCCTCTTTAAAAAAAAGAAAAAAAAAAAAAAGAAGAAGAAAAAGAAATGAGGATTTGCTGAAATGAATTAATTCTGTATTTTTAAAAGCAAGATTTTATTTTATTTTATTTTGAGACGGAGTTTTGCTCTTATCGCCCAGGCTGGAGTGCAGTGGCACAATCTTGGCAAACCGCAACCTCTGCCTCTCGGGTTCAAGTGATTCTCCTGCCTCAGCCTCCCAAGTAGCTGGGATCACAGGCGCGCGCCACCATGCCTGGCTAATTTTTTTGTATTTTTAGTACAGATGAGGTTTTTCCATGTTAGTCAGGCTGTTCTAGAACTCCCGACCTCAGGTGATTCACCTGCCTCGGCCTCCCAAAATGCTGGGATTACAGGCATGAGCCACCACGCCCAGCTTTTTTTTTTTTTGAGATGGAGTTTCACTCTCACTGCCCAGGCTAGAGTGCGATGGAGCAATCTCGGCTCACCACAACCTCCGCCTCCCAGGTTCAAGTGATTCTCCTGCCTCAGCCTCCCAAGTAGCTGGGATTACAGGCATGTGCCCCACGCCCAGCTAATTTTGTAATTTTAGTAGAGACAGGGTTTCTCCATGTTGATCAGGCTGGTCTCAAACTCCTGATCTCAGGTGATCCACCTGCCTCGACCTCCCAAAGTGCTGGGATTATAGGCATAAGCCACCATGCCCGGCCTAGTCGTGTTTACATAAAGACAGTCCATTATTTAACAAGCTCTTCCTAAGACTATAAAAAATGATCATCCTAAGACAGAAAATGTTACTGGGAAATATATGAGAAAGAAGAAGCAACATTTTATTTTCTAATAGCATTTCTCCATAACAGTTTCTAAAGTACTTTTTTCTCTGGAGAATAAAATTTAATATTTTCAAAAAGTAATACAGTTCCCTAATTTCAGTTAGGAAAGAAGATGTTTAAGAGATGATAGATATATTTTCTACACTAGTATTTGAGTCCAAGACATTTTCAATTCATTGACCGAAAGAACTGTAAAAAGAAGGAAGAACTAGCTAAACAGTTACAAAGCTTACCTAAAGAAAGAGAAATGTAGTTAAGCTAATTTACAAAGAAATGTTGGTTGACTGGGTTAAAGATGTTGAAGACTTGGCAGGGGAGTACAATTAAGAAAAGCCAGAGGGCGCGATGGGTCACGCCTATAATCCCAATATTTTGGGAGCTGAGGTGGGCAGATCACGTGGTCAAGAGATCAAGACCATTCTGGCCAACATGGTGAAACCCCGTCTCTACTAAAAATAAAAAAATTAGCGAGGCATGGTGGCGGGCACCTGTAGTCCCAGCTACTTGGGAGGAGAATCACTTGAACACGGAGGTGGAGGTTGCAGTGAGCCAAGATGGTGCATTCCAGCCTGGGCGACAGAGCAAAACTCTGTCTCAAAATAAACAAACAAACAAAAAGCTAGAATAACATTAACAGTTTTTTAGGCCTTGATATCTAATTGCCTTGAAATATAATCTAAATATATTATAACTTTATGATACAACTAAGGCACATTTCTGGACATAATGACCCTAAAACTAACACAAACGTACACATCTGCTCCCATGCTTTCCCCACCATTGGCTTCAATATTTTCAGAACTCTTACATCGCTACTTAGAGTTGAGTCAGATACATTAATGACGACAAATAATTTTAACTGCTAAAAATAAATAAATAAATAAACCAAGGCCATCTATTGAGAAAATTCTTAAGACTCACCTGCAGACAATTTTCTGGTAACAATTCCTTACTTTGATATCACAGGTTGAGAACTAAGATTTAAACTGTGAGCTGCGCTCGTAAGGCAGAGTGCTCACATCTTAGGTGAAAAAGCCACGTCTGTCAGGGTTACAGATGCCAGTAAACTAAGTTCTGGGTGAGCTGCGCTCGTGAGTAAGGCAGAGTGCTCACATCTTAAGTGAAAAAGACATGTTCATCGGGTTTATAGATGCGAGTAAACTAAGTTCTAGGTGTTGAGAAAAAATGGAAATTTAAATAAGAAATTTAATTCAAACAAGAGTAACAGAAACTGATAAAAGGAATGAACAGGTAAATGAGGCAAAAGCCAGATATCTTTATAAGGAAGTAAAAGACTATGTTTATTTTCAAGGGCTGTGAACAAGTAGAAAGTTGGTTAAACAAAGACATGTTCAAGGACCAATAACACAAAAACAGAAACATTCAAGGTAGAGATTATTCTAGACATGGAGGAAAAAATATTTCCCAAAACTTAAAAAACACTTATTTATAGGACACAGACTGGAAATTTAAACGTATTAAGGAGTAAAAGGAGAAAGTTAATAGGCGACTTTATTAGATGAGAAAGAAGAGCTGAAACAAACAACGAACAACACTGAAGGGCAGCGAACGTTCTCTCCCTTCGGTTTGAAACAGCAACAGGCCAGGTGTAGTGACTCACACCTGTAATCCCAGCACTTTGGGAGGCAGAGGTGGGTGGATTGTCTGCAGTCAGGAGTTTGAAACCAGCCTGGCCAACATGGTAAAACCCCATCTCTACTAAAAATACAAAAATTAGCCAGGCGTGGTGGCGTGTGCCTGTAATCCCAGCTACCCGGGAGGCTGAGGTGAGAAAATCATGTGAAACTGGGAGGCGGAGGTTGCAGTGAGCCGAGATCTCACCACTGCACTCCAGCCTGAGTGACAGAGCAAGACTCCATCTCAAAGGAAAAAAAACCAAAAACAGCAACAAATAATACACAACTGGATATGATGAAAACAAAGCCAGAATAGAGGAGACCTGTAAAAATGGTTTCTGAAATGTATTTTTATTAAAGCTGTAAATCTAAGTGACTTGCATTCTAGGATATCAAAATAATTAGCATAAATCACTGTGAGGCCATTAACTACGTTTGGGAACTCCTAGAAAACTGGAGAGCAAAAAAAGGTTAAGAAATAATCTCTCACTAGAGAATTTAGGCAACGGAAAGAAAACCCCAGAAACTGATACAAACTCAACTTTTACGCCTGGCTAAGCAATAAAAGAAATAAATTCATAAGTATAATGTATAACCGCTGTGAATGTAATACAGAAACTAAAAAATAAAGAATAAATCTTTTAAAATAATCATTTGACAATACAGCAGGTCTGATAGAAAAAAAGACTTATCTAAAGTCTAATAAAGTTTTCTATTTAATCTCACATGACAGTCACCGTAGAACAAGACAATGTGGTCTGTCTGGATCACACGGCTTTTGGCACAGTCAAAACAATTCTCAGTTATGACTCTGAATAAGCCACAATGCCTGAAGGTATTCACGGCGTACAAGTTACCTTCTCTCCCATACAACTAGAATGGTGCTAGTTATGTACCTCCCTTGAGATAATTTTGAAAAAAAGTTTCTGAAACAGTTTTCTGTGTTGTTCCAATAAGGATCCCAGTTGAGAAAGGCTAGCAAAGGATTCATATGGAAGAGAATTATAAAGATTTTCAGGAGGCATTCAGTATGCAGCGTATGTTCAATAATAACCAGAGAAGGTTTCTTAGATTTACAGTTGTTATAAAGTTGAGGTTATTAGCCGGGCTTGGTGGCGGGCGCCTATAATCCCAGCTACTCAGGAGGTCGAGGCAGGACAATCGCTTTAACCCAGGAGGCAGAGGTTGTAGCGAGCCGAGATCGTGCCATTGCACTCTGACCAGGGCAACAAGAGCAAAACTCCGTCTCAAAAAAAAAAAAAAAGTTGGGGTCAGCATTTAAAAAAACACGATGCAGACTAAACTGAGGGTTCCCAGAGGCTGGGAAGGGTAGCAGGAGGGTGGCAGGAGGAAATGGGGATCGTTAATGGGTCCAAAAAAAATAAAAAGAATAAGATCCAGCATTTGATAGTACAAAATGGTCATCATAGTCAATAATTTAATTGTACATTTAAACATAACTAAAGGAGTATAATTGGATTGTTTGTAACACAAAGGATAAATGCTTGAGGTGATGGACAGCCCGTTTACCTGATGTAATTATTACGCATTGTATACCTATATCAAAATACCTCATGAACCCCATATACATACTTGCTATGTACCCACAAAAATTAAAAACTAAAAAAAAAAAAAAAGGGCATGATACAAGAATTCGGTTTTAATGTTTTTAGAGACACAGTCTTGCACTGTCCCAGGCTGGGGTGCAGTGGTGTGATCGTAGCTACTGCAGCCTTGAATTCCTGGCCTCAACTGTAGTCCCCCCTCCTCAGGCTCCCAACTCTGGGATCACAGGTGTGAGCCAGTGTGCCTGGCTCAATGCAACAATTTGAAAGTATTCTGGTACATTAGACAAGTAAAAATATTCAAACACCAAAATTAAATTTTCAGGAAAAAATAAAGAATACAACATGAGGAAAATAAAGTGTCACTGAGAAGTTGAAGGCGGTTGGGCACAGTGGCTGACACCTAGTACTTTGGGAGGCTGAGGCAGGCTGATCTCTTCAGCCCAGGAGTTTGAGGCCAGCTTGGGCAATACCATGAGACCTTGTCTCTACAAAAACTTAAAAAATTAGCCCGGTATGGTGGTGCACATCTGTATTCCCAGCTACTCCGGAGGCTAGGGTGGGAGGATCCAGCCTGGGAGACACAGCAAGACCCTGTCTCAACACATAAAAGAGGTATAATTAAAACATTTGAGAATTACAGTGGATACTGGGCAAAATGAAGATCAAAAATTTAAAAATCGCCCTAAATGAGCAAGCTCTAATGAGGGATGTATTTCTAGTTGTGGACCATGAAGCCAGAATGGAGGGCAGAGAACTTGTGAAAATTCATTAAAGATTAACAGGCTGGGAAAGGCATGTAAAAGGATCTGAGTTTATTGAGGAAGAAGCTAAGGATGGCATCGTAATTGTTTTTAAATTCTTACATTAAAAAATTTGTATTTTGTGTAAAAAAAAAAAAAAAGAGGATTCTTACACTAAAAAATGCTAAATAACTAGAAAATCTCCACTCTGAAAAGAAACAAAGTATAAACCATAGCAGGACAGTTGTAAGTTAGACAAAGGACTTCTTGACAGTGAGAACTGTTCATCATTTTGTACATATCCAGTGACAACAAATAAGGAATTACCACTCCTAAGGATGGCATCGTAATTGTTTTTAAATTCTTACATTAAAAAATTTGTATTTTGTGAAAAAAAAAAAAAAAAGGATTCTTACACTAAAAAATGCTAAATAACTAGAAAATCTCCACTCTGAAAAGAAACAAAGTATAAACCATAGCAGGACAGTTGTAAGTTAGACAAAGGACTTCTTGACAGTGAGAACTGTTCATCATTTTGTACATATCCAGTGACAACAAATAAGGAATTACCACTCCTAGAGGCCTTCAAAACATAAAGCACTACAGGTTTTAACTTTCAGAGTTTAAATTTTTCCAGAAGGTGGAATGTATCATCTCTTACGACATTATTGTTGAAAAAAGCAGGGGGCTGCGATTTTTTTCTTATAGGGCCGGACTCTACATATTTTAGGCTTGCAGGTATATGATCTTGGTCACAATTATTCCACCTCAGCTGTTTACTATGCAAGCAGCCATAGGCAATGCATAAACACAAGGGATTGGTTATATAAAAATAAAGCTTTATTTAAAAAAACAAGTGGCCTAGGGGCCATAATTGGTTAACCCTATGGTAGGGGTTTTGGTGGTGATAGTGTTTTTGGACTCACATTATTTTGCATGCACATTAGACGACAGAGTTAATTCGATATTATATTATATGCTAACCAAAGTGAAATAATAACTCACGACAAAAAAACCTTTGATAAAAAAATCAGAATGACACATCAAACAGAATCTGAATACAAAGAATTAATATGAGCTCTGTGACTGTCTCTAGCATCGTAAAACTTTCAAACAATTTCAAGGGAAATCAACGTTAAACTCAAACAGTTTCATAAACAGGTATATTTATATGATCCTATATTTCAGATTGTTAGATCAATTCACTGAAAAATTCAAGGCCTTATATGTACCCCCTCCCCAAACTTCCTGGTGAACTACAATAACAAGAGATACCTTAAGAGGCGTGAAGGCAGAAGAATGAGGCAGGGGAGCAGCACAACCCACTTGATTCAAACCTGACAGCGACTGCATTTCAAATGAGAAAGAGAAGAAACAGAAGGCAGCACTGATATTAGCAACTGTCAGGCAGGCAGATCTGACTAGTGAAATGAGAAAACGAAAGGTCACGGACAGTCTTTCCAATGGTTTACTAAGCTACTGACAGGCCAGAAAGAGAACACTTGGGGGACAAAAACCCATCAACACAGTTTTTCCACTTGTGTAATTCAGGATAGTCTCAGTACCTCATGCCACACTAATCAAGAAATGGGAGGCATGATTTATTAAAAATGATTTTATGCAGAAATAAAACAGAACATCAACAATTTTAGCATAGTAGCCTTGAAACAAATGAGTCCTGTTCCTATGATGGGGGATTTTAACCAAGCAGAACTGGTATGAATAAAAACAATATTTTTTCAACATTAATCCAAATTAGATATATTATAATGAGGATGTGAGGATTCTGCATCAGCCTGAAGGAGGAACCGGCATTTCATCTCTGCCTCTGTGAAACTCCCACTGACTGTAAGAGAGGAAGGTGGAATTCCCTTTTTCTTCGAATCCTTTATCTTTCACCAACCAACATACAGCTGGTTAGATATACTGGAGATATAGTTAGATTGTATATATATAATTATTGTCAATTAAAAAGAAAAAATTTTAAGGTATTTATTATATAGAATTTTGATTACAGGTAAGAGATGCTCAAAACATGACAATTTTTCTCCTTTGCCACACGGAGAGTGGAAATCAGAGAAGACAACACTGTCACAAAGGGCACTGGGTAAGGTTTTACCTATTAAAACAACAAAATGCCAAGAGCTTAAAAACAGTGAAGTCTTTATAAGTAATTTTTAAAAATTTAAACTAGGACAACAAATTTCTAAACCATGAGATAAATGAACAAGAAAACAAATAGGTGTTTAGGAAAAGGTATGTATATGGTCAATAAAATAAATACGACTGTATTTTTAATGAGAATTAACATTTTTATTTGACAAAAGAAGCATGTTAACACACAATGTATTACATGTATCACAAAATCTATCTTAAGGCAGCAAATAGTGAAGATAAAAATATACCACAGAACACAACTGTGACAATGGTAACACACTGTGTATGCTTCTGGGGTTTAGATTGCCTGGGCCTACTTTTTAATCAGAGGTACCGGAACGACTGTCAATGTCAAATATGAAAAGGAAAACTAGGAGTGGATGAAGAAGAGGTAAAATGAGCCTCATGAGACCTGATACAGACGAAAGCAACAGGAGCTTGAGGGGTAGCCCGAAGAGAATGTCAGTGTAACTGATATTAGCTGTTATAAATCTTTATTTCAAATCGTATGTTTCAAGGTCTTTAGATCAAATTCAGCATTTACCTTAGGATATCATTCATCAGACCTTTTCATCATGAAACAATATAATAACCAGTAGATACATAGAATTTATGTGTTCATTCAGGAAATATTTACTGACCACCTACTATATCCCAGGAACGGTGGTAGGGATGGAGTAAATTAAGTATATTAAGACAAAATAAAATATCCTTGTGCTCATGAAGCTTATAGTCCAGTAGTCCAAAAGAAAAGAGATAATAAAAGAATAAACAAGCTGGGCACAGTGGCTCATGCCTGTAATCTCAGCACTTTGGGAGGCTGGGGCAGGAGGATTGCTTGAGCCCTGGAGTTAGAGACCAGCCTGAGCAACACAGTGAGACCCTGACTCTACAAAAAATTAAAAAATTAGCCACGTGTGGCATGAGCACCTGTAGTCCCAGCTACTCAGGAGGCTGATGCTTCAAGGAACCATGTTCATGCCACTGCACTCCAGCCTGGGCAACAGAGGGAGACTCTGTCACAAAATAATTAAATAAATAAATAAAAAATTTTTAAAAAGTAAAATTAAAAATAAAATAAAAATAAAAAATAATAAACACCCAAATAAAAGTACCATGATTAAAAAAAAACTGCTGTGACAACAGTAACACACCAAGTATACTTCCTGGGCCTCCTTTTCATCAAATGTACTGGAGCTCCTGTCAGTTTATTTAACTGTCCAGCTGTGGGGCTGACGTAAGGGCAGTGGGCTGCAGAAAAGTCATGTTAAAGATGGGACACTCAAACAAATACCTGAGAGATGAACAGGAATTAATCAAGGGGTATATGCAGGGAGGAAAAGGCATTCTATGTAAAAGAAACAGCATTTGCAAAGGTCTGAGATGGGAAAGGGCTTATGATACTTGAAGAGTTGGAAAAATGCTGGTATAGCAAGAGCCCAGAGAGGAGACTGGAGATGGAGGCAGCAGCAGAGCACGAAGGAGCTTCGAGGCCACATTTAGACTCCACTCGAAGCAATAGGAAGCCTTCTAAAGCATAGTTTTGATAATATGAGGTTTTATTTAATATATGACTCTTTTTGCACAGTGTTGGTTGGACATTATTTGGCATACAAAGAAATGTGAGATGTGCTTTTAAAGGTCATCACACTTAGAAGAAATTCCTTGCTTTTAAAGGCCATCTAATTTAGAGGATCAGATATGAATACTGGTAGCTAAAACGTAAGGGAATGTGTTTTGACAAATGGCTGAAGGGAATTTCAAGTTACACACTAAGGGGATTTTGCTGTTGTTGTTTTTCTAAATTCCACTATTTCCTTGACAAAAGAGTCTTGGACTCAGACTTATACCACTTATTACATGTGTTATTAACCCTTCAGTTTCCTAAACGGTTTCCAGCTACAGCCCGGTGTTGAATGCAGGTCCTCTCATCAGCCAGACAGGTGTGGATTCCCAGCCTTGCACTTACTATCTATGCGACCTTGGACAAGCCACATTCTGGGCCTCAGAAATCATCTGTAAAAACGTGCTAAATTTAACTTTCACTCTTAAGGTTGCTGTGAGGAACAAACGAGATAATTTTGGTAAGTGTTTGGATCATCGGAGGCTCTCAATATTTGTCTAATTTTTAACTTGTTATTCGCTTCTTAGGCCAATTCACTTACACTAAAACTCTAGAGTCTGATGACTGTATTCACCTATAAGACTGCCCAGTTAAAAGGTGTTTTATCCATCTCAAAGGAAATGAAGATTGCAGAATACACAGAAATGTGAACAGACCATGGAAGTTGGTGTAACAGGAATGTCATGCTGAAGCATGCAGCTCATGCAGTAGTATGCAGCCTGGCAGCAGTCACTAGCACGAGACAGAACTGCTGTAGATACTAGACTTCTGAACCGCACTACTATGAAAAAAATAACATAAAACATGATGGGGAAAGAAATTCTATAAACGGTTAGAATTCTCTCGCAAGGCTAATAAAAGTAAGGCTTTAAATAAACTTTCCATCTTATACTCATTTTCAGCTGATGAAACAGGCAATAAAAGTAAACCAGTGTTAAACATGATCAGCAGTTAATGTTTCCTTAAGTTTAAAAAATGAACATGGGCCGGGCGCGGTGGCTCACGCCTGTAATCCCAGCACTTTGGGAGGCCGAGGCGGGCGGATCACAAGGTCAGGAGATCGAGACCACGGTGAAACCCCGTCTCTACTAAAAATACAAAAAATTAGCCGGGCGCGGTTGTGGGCGCCTGTAGTCCCAGCTACTCGGGAGGCTGAGGCAGGAGAATGGCCGGAACCCGGGAGGCGGAGCTTGCAGTGAGCTGAGATCGCGCCACTGCACTCCAGCCTGGGCGACAGAGCGAGACTCCGTCTCAAAAAAAAAAAAAAAAAAAAATGAACATGAAGGAATAATCTTGCAAAGTGAAGGATTTTCTGTAGCTGAAAATACATAATAAAATAGGATGTCAAATACACAGTTGTGCAATCAGTGTCATGGGCCACCTTAACATACAGATGACCCATGCGCCAAATTAATGATGAATAAAGTAAGTGCTCCTGGAATTAGACACATTTAAAACATGAATATTACGTTATGCCTCTGTCCCCAGCACACACACAAAGCCAATATGGTTCTCAATGCAAATGTTTGACTCTTGGTGGCCCTGACGAAGACATGAGCCGCAGGACTCTGACTTTGAAACACTGGGTCAGTCACAAATAGTCATGTAGGAAAATGGTTTAGTTCTTTATAAAGCATTTAGTAATGATGCTCATCATGTTTTATGGTATTTAGATATAGTTTCTGAATAAAAAGTACAAGAGCTATCCTTTAATCTCTAAACACAGAAACGTAAAACTCCATTTTGTGCGAAACTCTTACCACTAACAAGGCACTATCATCAGTGTGCTGAGACCTTCTGGATGGGAAGGGGCACTGGAGAGGTGAGAAAAATGAAGCAATGTCAAAAACAAACTACGCACACGTGTGACGTATTTCACGAATACACACACAAGGAAAGAGACATATTAAGACATACTTTTGAAGATGCTGACATAGAGGACCACATTCACAATCATCTGGAATTCACGCATTATAATAGTCAGTAAGCTGCTTCTGAGTACTGATTTTCTCCCAGAGTTTAAACAACTTCAAATCGGACCTTACTGCCTAAAACCTTCCAAAGCAAGGAGGGAGCAGAAAGCTGGAGAGAGACGTAACAATAACATAAAGAACCTGCAGTCATTTAGTGAGCCAGTGACAGACCAGTAGCCCAGGGGTCATAATTTCTAGTCTAAGTATCTCTTCATTTTCTTTCTCAAGCAAAATGAAAAGTACGATTACAATTTTTAGAACTGTTTATGTTCTTTTCCTGTGGAGCTTTAGTTTTCTTGAGAATGAATTACTTGAAAACAATCATCAAGAAGGAAATATTGGGTAAAAAAGAAAACATATATTAAATTTATCAAACTTTGGTTGTCAAAAATGTGTTAGAATTACTACCAGGTGAAGAAAACACAACTGAACAGGCTGGAGTCAATCTTTCAGGTATTATACAAATATATAATGTTCTAACACAAAAAAAACTAGAAGTAGTTCTAAGATAAAATTTTTTAAAAACCTCTATAATGGACAACTGAAAGCATTTCAAACAATACACTTTCCCTTACCAGAAACTCTTGTGCTTTAAAAACACAGAAAATTGCTACTTGTAAAGCCCCAGGTGTTAGGTTTTCAAATAACTTATTTTATGAAAAGCAAAGTCAAAATTCACATGAAACAACGCTTTTATGCATTTTTCAAGGAGGTAATGATCATAAATTGAAAAAACTGGGTCAGGCGCAGTGGCTCACACCTGAAATTCCAGCACTTTGGGAGGCCAAGGCGGGAGGATTACAAGGTCAGGAGTTCGAGACCAGCCTGACCAACATGGTGAAACCCTGTCTCTACTGAACATACAAAAATTAGCCGGGCATGGAGGTGGGCGCCTGTAATCTCAGCTACTCGGAGGCTGAGGCAGGAGAATCACTTGAACCCGGGAGGTGGAAGTTGCAGTGAGCCAATATCGCGCCACTGCACTCCAGCCTGGGTGACAGCGTGAGACTCCGTCTCAAAAAAAAGAAAAAGAAACGAACAAAAAAAAAAAAAAGAAAGAAAAAACTGGAAGGCTTTTAAAGGGAAAATGGTTAATGAGAAAGCCAACTACAATAAAAACATTTAGTAAAAGCTTCATTTTAACAGATCAAAATAGGTGTGTAGATTTTTCAAAGGTTAAGTGATTTATTTTCTGTTAATCTGTAACAAAAATGTACTATTTGATATTATAAAATAAGTGTTATCACTGATAACACTGAATCTGAAATACTATGTAAGAATCTTTTTTTGTTCAGTAGCCGCTCCATTTACCTGTACCAGGTAAAGCTCCTAGGACTCTACACACCACGCTTCAAAAATGGAGGAGGGGGATGGTGCCTCTGGTGGGGGTCAGGGAGGGAAATATAATCTCTAGATGGATGTGTATAGCTGAAAAAAGCCTTGATCCATAGATTCTAATAAACTCCTTGGCTTGTATCATCTCCCTCATAAGCAGAATTTTGTGAGGGGGAAAAAGAAAAGTGGCAATATTCAAAAAGCACTGAAAAGATGATAATTACATGTAAACATTTCATTTGCATTGCAAAAATAATCAATTTCAAAGAAAAGGTGATTACATCAACTTACCTCACCATCTAGGAGGGGTTGCTGTTTTTGTGGACTTTGTGATGTTTTTTGCTATATAACCCCAAAACCCCCCAAAAAAGGAAGCTGGTTAGAGTCTGGAACACGGAAAATAAAAAATTACATTTACTAAAATAATCACTCACATTAATTTTTCTACCTCTTGTATATAGCATTTTTCTAGATTTACTAGTTAGAACATGTTTAGTTAGAAATTTTAAAAACTATACATATACCTACAGAAACACGTTTACAATCAGAATACTGACCTTCTCTCAGTGAACTTATTCTCTCCCTCCAATGGCTTCAGTATCACTCGAATGGTAATAACTTTAGCTAGAAGCAAATCTCAGGTTTGTGTTTTCAACTGCCTGTGGAAACTCTCTACTTGGAAACCCCACTCCATCTCATATCTGACATATTCAAAAACAAACTCACAATGTCCCATACTAACTGGCTATTTTCTCCAATGTGTGATATCTAATCATCTAATAATAACATGATAGCATTGCTGTGGTCCCTGCTTTACAACGTACTCTACCACGTCACTGTGTACACAGTATTTCAGTGATTCTTCTACTGTGTGAGATAAAATATCATCATCATATTCATTTAGAGATGAGAAAATCGAGGAGAGGCTATGCGGCACGTGTAAGGTCTCCAAGTTCATAAGTAGCACAACTGAGGTTTGCGCCTGTCTTCCAACTGCAGAGCCTGCGTTCTTTCCACAATGCGAGACCCTCATTTGAAACCATTCTTTTAGCCTCCAAACCTTGCCTTGGGAGCTTCTTTTCTTTCACCCTCTTCAGTGATTTATTCATCATCTCTCTTACAGGTAATTCAGCAAATCCATTTTATGATAGTAATAGGGGATATAGCATCTACCATACTAGTATTAAGCATTAAGTATATCCATAATAATTCTGAAATAGTTAATATTTCATAGTTAAATATCACACACAGGAGGAAGCTAAAGGCATAAAATGGCTCAGCAACTTTCTAAAAGTCAAGCACACAGCAAGTGGCAAAGCTGGACTCAAATTCAGAAATTTCTGAACTTAGGCTCTTGTCTATGTGCAATACTGCCGACCCTTAGTACCCTCAGAAGCCATCTGGTTTTTATGCCTTATTTCACACCCTAGTCTAACTATTGCAGTTTCTCTCTTCTTTAGTTTCCTCTTTCTAGTCTCTTTCTTCCTAACCGATTCTAACACGAGTACATTCGTTTTTCAGAAGTCTCTCTCTTGTCTTTTTCCTGCTTTGAAACTCAGCATTCTCTTTTACTTAACAGATCAAGATCCAACACTAATCTGACATTTAATCAAGACTCTCTACAAGTTGACTATCTCTTACTAGCTGTGTGACTTCTGTAGAAGGCAAACTGAATGAGTTAATTTATGCAAAGCACATAGAACAGCATTTAGGATTCAGTGTTAACCATTATTACCGAGAGGCAGCATGGACTGCGCTCACAAAACAGGCTTTGGAGCCAACCTGCCTTGTTCTAATAATAGGATTTTAATCCTGCCACTTACTGAGTATTTAATCTTAGTAAACTGCTATTCTCTCTGAGCTTGTTCATAAAAAGAAAAAAATGGTACCTAAAGAGATTGCTGGAGAATTAAATGAGTAAATATATATAATGTACTTAAAATAGTGCCTGGTACATAATAAGCACTCAATAAGTTTTAAGTATTATCATCATCTCAATAATTCATTTTTCCCATAAGTCTTCAATACAAACTCTCTAGGCCAGCTGGTATTTCCTGCAAGTACCATTATTTTAAATCTACAAATCATACAAGGTCATTCCTAGTTCCCATCCTGTTTAGATTTCCTCAGCCTAGATCGAACCCCCCTTTACACCATCATCCAGTCTATTCTTCCTGGCTATATCCTACATACTCATTCTTCAGGGTCCCGTATCATTTCTTTTTGAGGTCAATTCTGATGATACTTGTTCTCTAAGTCTTCTATTGTCTTGAATATAAAACAAGCACTTTTATTACAAGCTGTCTTATTTTCTGTTTTTTTCTGTGATAAGGTCTAAGCTGTGCCTGGTGGGCAGGGCTTGTATTTTATGCATCTTTATATTCCTTGTACAACCAGCATTCCATAAAGGTCTTTCAAGTCGAATGGACGAACAAAGTTAGGCTTTCAGAAGTCTAGGTTTGCCTCCTGATTATGTTTTGTTTTGTTTTTTTTTTCTGAGACGGAGTCTCGCTCTGTAGCCCAGGCTGGAGTGCAGTGGCCAGATCTCAGCTCACTGCAAGCTCCGCCTCCCGGGTTCACGCCATTCTCCGGCCTCAGCCTCCCGAGTAGCTGGGACTACAGGCGCCCGCCACCTCGCCCGGCTAGTTTTTTGTATTTCTTAGTAGAGACGGGGTTTCACCGTGTTAGCCAGGATGGTCTCGATCTCCTGACCTCGTGATCCACCCGTCTCGGCCTCCCAAAGTGCTGGGATTACAGGCTTGAGCCACCGCGCCCGGCCATGCCTCCTGATTATGAAAAGGAATTTACTATAAATGACTACATTGCTTAATTTTCCTACACCTGCAGCTTCCTCATTTATGAAACCTGAACACCTCCAAATGACCTAAGAAGAATAAACCAATGAAGTATTTTCATTAGTTTCAAAAGAACTATATAAAAAATTTTTATGTAGTAACAAACCAAGCAGGGATTTAAGGGAAAGAGAAATGGTTGGACAAATTAGGAGAAACAGTATGTGGGTATTAGATGACTTGCACAAAAAGACAATGACAGAGATAAAGGAGGCCAGGAGAACATGGCCATCAGCACATTAATGTTCTTATGAGGGGTGAAAAGGCACGAAAAGAAACATCTCAGGGCAGACGGAAGGTTCTGAGGGACGGACTAAGAGAGGTACCTTTGTGAACTTCTGGTTGTAGGAATATTAATTTTAGTATTTTTGCTGTTGGTCAAAAGATTTACCTATATTTTTTTTTTTTTTGAGATGGAGTCTCACTCTGCCGACCAGGCTGGATAGAGTGCAGTGGTGGTGATCTCAGCTCAGCTCACTGCAACCTCTGCCTCCTGGGCTCAGACAATTCTCCCACTTCGGCCTCCTGGTTAGCTGGGACTACAGGCATGCACCACCACGCCCAGCTAAATTTTTTTATTTCACTTGAGACAGGATTTTGCCATGTTGGCCAGGCTGGTCTCAAACTCCTGACCTCAGGTGATCCGCCCACTTTGGTCTCCCAAGTGCTGGGACTACAGGCGTGAGCCACCATACCCCGCCAGATTTGCCTACATCTTGATAGAAAATAATAGACAAGGAAACTTGTTGGATGAAGAGGAATCAGGTAAGAAAGAGTTAAACATCACCACCAAGGGTCTGATACCTTCAGAAAAAAATAATTTATCAGGTAAAACAGACATATGCATGGTACTTAAAGAAGATGGTCTCTAAAGTATGAAATACAGGAAAGTCTTTAGAGGACAAGAATAATTCATTTAATCATTCAACAAATATTTATTGACGATTACTATGAGCTAAAACCTGCTGAGGTCTAGGGATACAGTAGTAAGTAAAACAGACATGGTTCTTATCTTCATGGAGTTCACAGATAAATGATAGACAGATATTAAGTAAACAAAATTACAAACATTTAATTATGAAGAAAAAAATGATTTCAGAACAAAAAGATAAGTAATACAGGTAAAATAAAATGTCATTGTTTCAAGCGCTACTATAGAGGCTGCAAAATATTAAGAAATATTAACAGGGTTGTTTAACTGAATGTGTGTGGAGAACAGAAAGGAACAAATCAAAGTTCCTGCAAAGGATAAAGCCTGTGAGGCTAGCAAACTTTTGTTATTTACTAAAGCAAGGAAGCTGGAGAGAGGTCTGAGTAACAGTTCACATTTGGAGGGCCTTAACTCGTTATTTACTAAAGCACTATCAGTTTCATGTGACTGATCTTTACTATGACACCAGAAATTGAGGAAATGGCTGCTGGATAAAAGTGACATGTCCAATGATGGACTGCTAAATAAGAGGAAGAGATTACTGTTAATAAGATAATCACTTCCATCGTCCTCATGCAGATAGACACAAGTAAAAGAGACACTCTATTTAGTCAAGATTCCTTATAGAGAGAAAAACGTTGACATTTTAATTGACAATAAAAACCAACAGGCTTGGCCAAACAAACAAGCACGTCACCTCTCAGCAGCTTGAACAGTGTCATCAAAGGACTCACTTTGACAAAGTCCAGGACAGCATCTCTCTGGATCTGCTTGGTCCTTATTTTCTCCTCTTCATACTGCAGGGCAGCGAGCTGGGCCTCTCTCCGAGCGCGCTCTACTAACTGCTCCCTTCTCCGATGAAGTTCCAGGTCTGTATGTGACAGCTGGACCCAAAGCGTTATTGTGCATATCAAAGTAAAAACAAGGATCACTTTGCCAATATTCCCTATCAATTCAGGGAACTACTGTTGACCCATGCAACTTTTGCTTTGAAGTCACCTAGCATTTCTTTACGTGTGTTTATTGCCAATCTTTTCCCATCTTTGCACCGTTCTTGTATACATTAGGTTGGTACAAAAGTAATTGTGGTTTCTGCCATTGAAAGTGATGGGAGAAACTGCAAGTACTTTTGTACCAACCTAATACTATAAAGCTATCACGAAGGTAAAGATTTTCTATCTAGTGTCCAAAAACACTGTTAGCAAGTATCACGTACATATGTTATATTAACTGAGACAGCTGGTAATGCTTAAATATATCTGGCAATTAATGGCAATTTAAGTATTATAAAAGAAAAAAATAATCATCTTAGTTTAAAAAGCAAAACTAAATAAACATAACTACTAAAAATTACCTGATTGTGACTTGCTGATAGTGACAAGAGAGAAGATGGCTCAACTGGAACCCTGATGCAAAAAAGAAAACAGAAAAAAACTCTTCAATAAAAAGACAAACAGATGTATAAAAAACAAATGAAATTTTTATTGTAAATGTAGCTTTCTATTAATCAGCAGCAAACTGCCTAGTCAGCATTGAAGGAGTAGCTGCATTTTGTAAACCTACGCCCAAGTCATTAAGTGAAACCAGAGGAAAATCTGCCACCTCCAACTCATGTTTCATGTGGTATCACTATGTCAGCCAATAACAATAGTTAACTGAGATCACTTTTCAAACAGTATCATTTCTTTATAACATGAATAACTATTATCTTCGTTACCACCGTGATTAAAACAAGATACATGTAAACTGAGATCCTTTCACACACACAGCCATTTTATCAACAGAAATCTAGAATACTACAGAACCTGGTAACTGTATTTATAAAGCACACCTGCTCTTATTTTCAATCGATGAAGTAATTTTAACACAGAAATAAAAATTCTGGTTTTTTTATTTTTAAGAAAAATACGAAACCCTTTTTTAATGCTTAAAAAAAACAACAAAAAAGTACGACTTCCTCACTGTTATCAGTGTTAATTCTTGTAGTTTACTATTTATCCTTTTCCTAAAACTGATTTCATTGTTCAAGTCTCTGTAACTCATCTTTGTGTCTGAAACTAAAACTGGCAAAAGTAGTGACTGTCTGACATTTAGGACCTGGCCTCTGAAACTATGATGACGATGAGCCTATCAGGCTGATCTAAAGGCACTGAAATCAGTGTGCTATTAGGGGAACAAAAACAAAATCCTGCCATCATTGCTCACTGCAGTCTTGACCTGCTGGGCTCAAGCCATCACGCCCAGCTATTTAAAAAAAATTTTTTTTGTAGCAATGCCGGTCTTAGTATGTTGCCCAGACTGGTCTCAAACTCCTGCCCCTCAAGCCATCCTCCCATCTCAGCCTCCTAAAGTACTTGGATTACAGGTGTGTGAGCCACTGCGGCCAGCCTTTTTTTTTTTTTCTTTTTTTGAGACAGGGTCTCACTCTGTTGCCCAAGCTGGAGTGCAATGGCATGATCATGGCTCACTGCAGATTCGACCTCCTGGCCTCAAGTGATAATCTCGCCTCAGCCTTTCCAGTAGCTGGCCTACAGGTGTGTGTCAACCAACCCAGGCTTATTTCTGTAGTTTCTGTAGAGACAGGGCTTTGCTATGTTGCCCTCAAATTCCTGAGTTTTCAAGTGATCCACCCGCTTGGGCCTCCCAGAGTGCTGGGATTACAGGTGTGGGCCACCGCACCCCGCCCTGATTACACATTTAGAGTAACAGGAATTAACTGCAACTTTCTCCCTGGATTGCTAATTTCACTGTTAAAATTTCCCATAGCTTTTACTGGCCATCTGTAGATGAACTGAACCAAAACACAGAAAGGACCAAATAAACCGTCTCAAGTCTGTTTATGTGCCCTAACCTGAACACCATACTTTAACAATGCTTATCAATCTTTGTTTTGTTTTGTTTTGTTTTGAGACAGAGTCTTGCCCTGTCGCCCAAGCTGGAGAGCAGTGGCCTGATCTCAGCTCACCACAACCTCCGCCTCCCAGGTTCCAGTGATTCTTCCGCCTCAGCCGCCTGAGTAGCTAGGATTACAAACATGTGCCAGCACACCCGGCTAATTTTTGTATTTTTAGTAGAGACGGGGTTTCACCACGTTGGCGAGGCTGAATTTAATGAAATGCAGTCATTGAATGCCTGACCTCAGGTGATCCGCTCGCCTCAGCGAGCCCAGCGAATCCCCAAAGTGCTGGAATTCCAGGCGTGAGCCACCGTGCCCAGCTGCTTTTCAATCTTTTAATACATATCCTCTTTTTACATACGTTTCTTTTTTTCTTTTCTTTTCTTTTTTTTTTTGAGACAGGGTCTCATCTCACTCTGTTGTCCAGGCTTGAATGCAGCAGTGCGATCTCAGTTCACTGAGGCCTCCACCTCCCAGAGTTAAGCTTCCTGAGAAGCTGGAACTACAGGTGTGCACCACCAGGCCCAGCTAAGTTTTGTATATTTTTGGTAGAGATGGGCTTTCGCCATGTTGCCCAGGCTGGTCTCGAACTCCTGGGCTCAAGCAGACCACCCACCTCGGCCTCCCAAAGTGCTGGGATTACAGGTACATATATTCATTTACCCTCTCTTTACAATGCTTCTTTAAAAAGCCAGTCAAACCCACTGTTTCCACTTTATCTCATTATTGTATTTTGTACCCAATCCAATCCGCATCCTGTCCTTACAATTTCACTAAAACTGTTCTTTCTTTCACCTCACAAGTTTGTCAGTGATCGTGACAACCCCAAATCTAACAGTTGTTTCTTAGTCCTCCTCTTATTAAACCTATCAGCAGGGCGGGGTGCAGTGGCTCACGCCTGTACTCCCAGCACTTTGGGAGGCTGAGACGCATGGATCATGAGGTCAGGAGATCGAGACCATCCTGGCTAACATGGTGAAACCCCAACTCTACTAAAAAAATACAAAAAATTGGCCAGGTGTGGTGGCGTGCCCCTGTAGTCCCAGCTACTCAGAAGGCTGATGCAGGGGAATGGCTTGAACCTGGGAGGCGGAGGTTGCAGTGAGTCAAGATTGCGCCATTGCACTCCAGCCTGGCGACAGAGCAAGTCTCCACCTGGAAAAAAAACCTATCAGCAGTAAGCGATGTTGTTCATTCCTCTCTATACTTCTTCAAACACTGTTTTCAAGGCCAGGCACAGTGGCTCATGCTTTTAATCCCAGCATTTTGGGAGGCCAAGGCGCGAGGATCTCTTGAGTCCAGGAGGTCAAGGCTGCTTGAGCTATGATGACACCACCGCACTCCAGCCTGGGTGACACAGACCGTGTCTTGAAAAAGCAAAAACAGCAGCACTGGTTTCATTTAGCCTCTGGGACACCACCCTCTTTCTCCTATCCCCATGACCACCCCTGCTCAGTTTGCTTTTCTGGTTGTTCAAGCCCTAATTCTTGCCACCTTACTCCAAACTCATAAACCTAACTGCTTACTTGATAATTCCAGTCGGATGTCTTGCATGTACCTGAAATAGACCTTAACCACAGCGGAACTCTCACCTCACACCCCAGATGTGTCCTGCTTTACTCAGGCTCCTGGGTGTTTCTTGAATACACCAAAAGCATGTTCCTACCTCAGAACCTCTACCTAGAATGTTTCCCCCCTAGACCGCCATAACATTTGCTCTTTTTCAGGTTTCTACTGAAATATTATCACTGCATCTAACATTACTTTCACTCTTCCCTCACCCACCATCTCCTTCATCCTGCTTTGTTTTTCTTCAGAGCACCCAGCAGTACCTGAAATACACTTGTTACATGTATTTGTCTACACCCACTAAAAAGTAACTCTAAAACACCAGGGATTTGGAACAGACAAAACCATTATAGTGCTGAAGAAATATTGCTTGAATGAATGACAGTAGCACCCTCCCCCAAAAAAGCGTGGAATATTGAGACATAAAAAACAAAATGCAGGTAGCACACATGTATCTCCTCTAAATCTTGAACTTACTTGAGCTAAGTAAACCAGACTTTCCTCTCTTCAGGCAGACTTTTTTTTTTTCTTCTTTTGAGATGGAGTCTCACTCTGTTTTCCAGGCTGGAGTGCAGGGGCACAATCTGGGCTCACTGCAACCTCCACCTCCCGGGTTCAAGCAATTCTCCTGCCTCAGCCTCCCAAGTAGCTGGGACTACAGGCACCTGCCACCACACCGGCCAATTTTTTGTATTTTTAGTAGAGACGGGGTTTCACCATGTTGGCCAGGCTGGTCTGGAACTCCTGACCTCAGGTGATCCACCTGCCTTGGTCTCCCAAAGTGCTGGGATTACAGGCGTGAGCCACCGCGCCCAGCCAGTATAAGGCAGACTCTAAACTGCCTTCTCTGTTTTTCTTTATTTACAAAATCACATAATTAATGTGAGTAGCTTTTCTGGCTTTGTCTATATAACATGAAACAAAAAAAATGTCAGGTTTTATCTAAATGTTAATTCTATATTGCTTCTTATAGAAGTTATAACACACTTTACAGAACCTAGTCTGATATGATCATGTCTCCTGAACTAAAATGCTATTCAAATTATAAGTAGGACTCGTACTTTTTTTTTTTTTTTTTAAGACAGAGTCTTGCTGTCACCCAAGCTGGAGTGCAGTGGTACAATCTTGGCTCACTGCAACCTCCACCTCCAGGGTTCAAGCAATTTTCCTGCCTCAGCCTCCCGAGTAGCTAGGACTACAGGTGCAAGCTACCACACCCGGCTAATTTTTGTATTTTTAGTAGAGATGGGGTTTCACCATGTTGGCCAGGCTGGTCTGGAACTCCTGACCTCAGGTGATCTGCTGGCCTCGGACTCCCAAAGTGCTGGGATGACAGACGTGAGCCACTGAACCCAGTCCATAAAAAATTATTTTAACAATTTTTTTAAAACATAATTTTTGCTAGTTTCAATTTCAAAGTTACATAATCCATCTTGGCAAATACTATAAAACATTCACACTTTTTATGTATTACATCTCCATATGTTTATTATCTCCCAGTAGGGTAGACTCTATGTGGGTAGGGGATAGGGGAGTGGTAGGTGGAAAGAAATGTGTGTGGTGGATGAGGGTAGGGGAAGAGAATGGGAGAAAAAAAGGGGTAAGCAAGCTTTCCTTTTCGGCTCACTAGCAGAGGATTCCTCATGCTCACTCAATGTTTTTGAGTTGCTGTAACTGACAGACCACTGAGGCAGATTCTTTTTGATAACATGTTATTCAGATTAAAGACAAGTCTTGCTCGCCTGAGAGCTATCAGTCACTGAGAGGTGATTTTGTCTTTTTAGGTTCTAATTCAACATTCCACTTGAATGGTAGCTCCAAGACAGCAGGAATTTTGACTAAGTTCACAGCTACATCTGGAAAAGAACTTGGCACATAGTAGATATTTCACAAATACCTGCTAATTAAAAACATGAAGTATATATTGATCTTAGAGCCTAACTGGTTACTAGGATCAAGTATGGAGTTCTTATCCAAGGACTGTGCTAAGGTCTAGTATTCTGGAACCCCCAGTTAAACAGTAATCATGGCTGGGTGCAGTGGCTCACACCTGTAATCCCAGCATTTTGGGAGGCCAAAGCAGGAGGGTTAGTACTTCAGTCCGGGAGTCTGAGACCAGCCTGGGCAACTTAGTGAGATTTCTGACTCTACTAAAAATAACAAACAATTTGCTGAGTATATAGCACACGCCTGAAGTTGCAGCTACTCCAGAGGCTGAGGTGGGAGGATTGCTTGAGCCTGGAAGTTAGAGGCTGCAGTGACCATGATCACAACACTGCACTCCAGCCTAGGCAACAGAGAGAGACCCTGCCACGAAACAAAACGAAACAAAAAATGTAATCCCAGCTTTAGTTTCCAGCACTGCGTGCGGCAGACTAAACGTCCTGAATGACTCTTCCAATGGAAATAACCAAAATGCTGAATAAAACAAAACAAGCCTTTAAAATGTATTGCTAAGGTGGCATGAAAATAAAGAATCCACAGACTTTCAAAAAGAAGTAAAAACAGGAACTCTGGACTAAGATGTGGTAGGCAGACTTTCGTCTTCCATGATCTCCGTCCCTGGCCTTACTCTAGTGAATATTGTTGTATTACATTTTTTAAAGGCTTTGCAGATGAAATTAAGGTTACTAATTAGGTGGCCTTAAAACGGGGAGATTATCCAGGTTGACGTAATATAACCACGAGCCCTTAAAAGCAAAAGACTGGGAGATGTGGCAGAAAGGGAAGTGAGAAAGATTCCAAATATAAGGAGGATTTGACCCATCATTCCTGGTTTAAAGACAGAGGGGGCCATGAAGAAGGAATGTGGGTGGACTCTAAACACCACCCACTGGCAACCAGGAAAATAATGGGGACCTCAGTCACGGGGACCGGTAACTGCATCAAACTGAACTCTGCCAACATGTAGGAGTGTGAAAATGAACTGTCCTCCACAGTCTCCACATGAGAATCCAGGTCAGCTAATACCCTGACTTTGGCTTCTAAGTAGAGAACCAGGGGGGCCTGCCCAGGCTCTATCCTCCAGAAGGGTATTAATATAATAAAGGGGTGTTGTTCTAAACTGCTAGAACTTTATAACACAAGCAACAGAAAACTAACACATAAGGTAACTGAGTGAAAAAGCTAGCTTTTATTGTGAGGGTTTCTACTAAATCCTGGAGCTCTCGAGCTATGATGGAAGCAGGACGTGAGAGAGACGAGATAAAAAACGCAGGCCCACTCAGGGTAGGGAATGTAACTGGAAACTCCTGCATAAAACTGGAATCTCAAGACTATACTTTCAATAAAAGGGCACATGGCAACTGAAAAGACATTCTGAAATACATTTCGAAGCATATAAAATTTAATTAAATCTCCATTAGTTAAGTGGTAAGAGTATAAATGGCAAAGTTATGTCTTTTTTCTCCCTACATATTTATTCCATCTATATCTCAGTCCCCCAAGTTAACTTTAATACCCTGTCAAGTATAAGAACTACGTAAATTTACTATCACTTAAGAATAGGCATATCAAGACTTCATAAAACCAGAAGGCAAAGAACTAAAGGATGAAATTTCCAACTACTGCGAAATACTTCATGGCAAGAAACATTCTGGAATTCAAGAATGAGAAGCAGTGCTCTAAATGATCAAGCTAATTTTCAAAATATTCTTTGTTTTTTTTGTTTTTTTCTGAGATGGAGTCTCACTCTGTCACCCACCCTGGAGTGCAGTGGCGCAATCTCAGCTCACTACAACCTCCGCCTCCTGGGTTCAAGTGATTTTCCTGCCTCAGCCTCCCAAGTAGCTGGAATTACAGGTGTGTCCCACCACACTCAGCTAATTTTTGTATTTTTAGTAGAGACGGGGTTTCACCATGTTGGCCAGGCTGGTCTCAATCTCCTAACCTCAAGTGATCTACCCGCCTTGGCCTCCCAAAGTGCTGGCAGTACAGGTATGAGCCACCGTGCCAGGCCTAATTTTCAAAATATTCTGAGAGGCACCAAGTACAGTGGAAAGATCGCATGGAGACAGGACTGGCTATACATATCACTGTCTCTGCCTATCTCTCTGTTATCCAGTCAAAAATGTAAGTTAAAAAAAATTAGGATTCGCCGGGCGCGGTGGCTCAAGCCTGTAATCCCAGCACTTTTATTTTTTGGCGGGAGGCCGAGACGGGCGGATCACGAGGTCAAGGAGATCAAGACCATCCTGGCTAACCCAGTGAAATCCCGTCTCTACTAAAAATAACAAAAAACTAGCCGGGCGAGTGGCGGTGGCTCTGTAGTCCCAGCTACTCGGGAGGCTGAGCAGGAGAATGGCGTGAACCGAGGGAGCAGCTTGCAGTGAGCTGAGATCCGGCCACTGCACTCCAGCCTGGGCTGGACAGAGCAAGGGCTCCGTTCCCAAAAAAAAAAAAAAAAAAATTAGGACTCTCGAAACTCGTTTTTGTTTTTGTTTTTTGTATTTTTTGTGTGTGTGTGTGTTTTTAAGACAGGGTCTCACTCTGTTGCCCAGGTGGGAGTGCAATGACACAAACCGGGTTCAGCTGCGAGCCTCAACCTCCCAGTTCAAGTGATCCTCCCACCTCAGCCTCTTGAGTTGCTGGGACCACACGTGTGCCCCACCATGCCAGGCTGTTTTTTACTTTTTGTAGAGGGTAGAATGATGCTCAGACTGGTCTCCAACTCCTGGGCTCAAGCAAGCCTCCCGCCCTGGCCTCCCAAAAGTGCTGGGATTACAAGTGTTAGCCACCATGCCCAGTCCTGAAGTTCTTTTAGCCCTTTTTATGCATGAATCCACATAGCACCACCACAAAGTCTCATTGCTATCAAGTATCTTCAGATGAATTAACTGTGTAGGTGATGATTTAGATAGTGTCAATTTAGAATCAAATCAGTTTTCACTTTTTCTATGGCATGAGTACAAAAAGCATACTGTCATTCAGTTCTAAATACATGCCATCTAAACATCTTTATTATACACAGATCTGCATAAATCCAAAATTATTTTATGCTCTCATCATTGAGTTAAGACAGAAATAAATTAAGTAGAATTGGTTTTTCAAACCTGTTTTGATGTAAATATCTTCTCATATCTTCTGTTTTTTGAAACTCCCTAATGGCTACTGGCTTTACTGGTGAACCCTAGGCCAAAGGATAGAAATAAATAAATTTAATATATTAATCCATAACACTGTGATTACACAATTCACATCCAATTTGTCATTTAATTTGTATATTACATTAAAAAATATTTTAATAGACTCTTCAAATGTAAACTTTAAGTGTAAAAGCATCATATGCTATACTGCTGCTTTAATAAACAAAAATGTTCACAATTCACATTTATTTTATTTTATAAGAAAGTAGATTTCCTTCTCACTGTATTATATACATTACAGTGACCGAGCACAGTAATATTTACTGAATAATAAGATGTTAGAATTGGAAAGGAACTGAAGAGGCCACTAGTACAGACTTCCATTGAGGACAGAAATTCCCACCTACCCTACCCTGACATTTGCTCAGTTTCTCTTGAATATTTCTGGAAATAGTGAGTTCACTGGGCAGATTACATTTCTTTATTGATCCATCACCACAAATTGTCTCTTATCACACACATACAAATAGTCTTGGGTGTGTTGGTGACTATCAAGATAAAACAAAAAGTAATTTCTATTTATGGTAAAATACTGTATTTAAAAGAAAAATATTACTGGCAATTTTACTTATTTATGAACTAAAGAGTAAAAGGTCATTTTCAAAAAGTATTACTGAGGAAAATTAAACTGGTTTAAAATACAGACCACACACAGAAAAATAAAACTATAAATCAAAGGTAGAGGATTAAAGGTTATCAAAGGAAAATCTACAGAAGCAATACAATCTTGTTTCAACCAAAAATAATCATCAAAATAGTTATTCATCAAGGGAAAAATAAGAAAACAACTTTTCCAAAAAGCATATCTACAAATCAAACATGAAACTACTTATCATCTACCTCCAAGAAATAGGTACATCACATGTCACTAGAAACTTTTGGTGAGTTACTCCAAAGGGCTAACAACTGACTGTCTTAAAGTCTGGACATGAGATCCCAATAATAAACTACAATTCTGCAACTCTGATGCAAAAATAATTTTTCTAATTTTAGTGAATACACTATTTTACAATTTTTGTTTATTTAGTTAGAGACAGAGTCGCTATGTTGTTCAGGCTGGTCTCAAACACCTGGGCTCAAGCAGTCCTCCTACTTCAGCCTCCCGAGTGGCTGAGATTACAGGAATGAGCCACCAGGCCAAGCTATACCCTTTTAACAAAGAAACAAAAATCTCTCCTAGGATGTTGTATCAGTGACTTACCATCCTAGTTTTTTCGTTTGGTTGGTTGTTTTTTGATACGGAATCTTGCTCTGTCACCCAGGCAGAGGCACAATCTTGGCTCACTGCAACATCCGCCGCCCAGGTTCAAGCGACTCTCGTGCCTCAGCCTCCAGAGTAGCTGGGATTACAGGCGCCCGGCATGACTCCCAGCTAAGTTTTATTTTTTTATTTTTTATTTTTATTTTTTTAGTAGAGACAGGGTTTCATCACATTGGCCAATCTGGTCTAAAACTCCTGACCTCAAGTGATCCACCCGCCTCGGCCTCCCACAGTGCTGGGATTACAGGTGTGAGCCACCATGTCCAGCCCCATCCTAGTTTTATGATACTGCAATTATCTAAAATTATTCTAAGACGTACATGAAATTTTCATGACGAAATGAATGTGTCTTTCATTTAATTAAAAAAAAAATCATACCATGTTCAGATAGGAATGGTCTATGTATGTGACAAGTATTATAATAAAATTAAATAATAGTAGAGTGTTTAAAATCTCACATAGGTTAGTTTTTAACAATCCATTTTTAGATAAGTGTTCAGGAAAATAAAAAGATATTTCTTCCCTGGTTGTGAAACCATCTAAAATAATGCTGCCTCATCATATTTTCACAGACGCTAAATTTTACGAAAGCTTTATGACACAGAAGTCGTAAAGACTACCATATGTAATAGGCAGCCAGAATTTAAAAACTATTATTACAAAACAAACAATATAATGAATTAAAGAAATGATACTATTATTTTTCATAGTAGTATAATAGGCATTTTTACTTTTAGTAAAGATACTCCATTTATACAGCCTAATTAAGCATAACATGATCAAAGAGAAAGACCAAGAGAAAAGGAAATGAATTCCTTTAAGGATTATAATGTGTCATTGTTCATTTTAATTTTATTGCAAAACAGTTAGGTGCCCCTTGCTCTAGCAGCCTGAACAAGTAGTTTCACCAGTCATCTGGTACATTGCTATCTCTGGGCTGTAAGACTTTGACTTACATAATTTTATCCAACTTTAAATACAAGAGTGTCTCTTTACCAACAAAACACACTGTGTTCAAAAGTGTTCAGACAGGAAAAACCAAAGCCCCTTTTTTAAAAAAAAGAATGATAATATTGGCTGGGCACGGTGGCTCACACCTGTAATCCCAGCACTTTGGGAGGCTGAGGCAGGCAGATCACATGAGGTCAAGAGTTTAAGACCAGCCCGGCCAACATGGAGAAGCCCCATTTCTACTAAAAATACAAAAATTAGCTGGGCGTGGTGGTGCACGCCTGTAATCCCAGCTACTCAGGAGGCTGGAGTGGGAGAATCACTTGAACCTGGGTGGCAGAGGCTGCAGTGAGCCGAGATCACACCACTGCACACCAGCCTGGGCGACACAGTGAGACTCTGTCTCATTAAATAAAGATGATAATACCACTCTACAACATGTCCCACTTGAAATGATTATTCTCTATTTCTTTTTTTTCTTTCCTTTCAGCTGTCTCAGACCAAAGAGACTATTCTCTATTTCTAAAAGGCTAATACATCATCTCTAGAAAGGACCCAACTGTTTCTCAAACAATCACTGCTCAGAGCCTGAAACCAACTCCAGACATCAACATCACATCCACTAAAGTGAAGCCGTTTTACCATGCTGACAAGACAGACTGAAGAACGCTCTTCTATCTGAGACCCTTGGGGAGCTGGCGGAGATTCTGCAGTGGGCTGAATGCACATTTGTTTTCTAAGGCAATTCAATGTTCCACTTAAGAGATACCCAAGAATTTTAATAGCAAACAATTTATGTTCTGTGTGACTTAGCACAAAAGCTCCAGTATAATTCAGCATATTATAAAAATTCTATGGTTAAGTCTGCATGCTGCCACAAAAGTCAACTTTTTGGTTTAACTGTTAATTAACTACTGACCAAACTATGATTTATCAGTTAGTAACAATATAAAAGCAATAAAAACAACAATGAAAAGCATCACTGTATTTTTCTTTGTACTTTCTTCGAAGGCCTTAACAGTACCTAGACTTCTCTTTTTCCTTCTGCAAAATTCTGAAATCTGTCTTCTTGTTTGAAAAGTAAACCTAAAGCCTACTTGAGACTACTGTCTGATGTTTCTGAATAAATCTCAACAATTCGGTACTGAAATTAGAAGTGAACATAATGAAAACAATTAGGCTTATGTCAACAAATCACTGATACAACAAAACTTTATACTATTATGAATTATTTTCACGAAGGGACAGCAACGTATTTAGGCTTCAATCCAGGTACTACCTCATGAGAGATTCGCCGTTGTTCAATATACGCCATAAACTGTGAACTAAGGCTGTCTGAGTCCGGTCCCTTGGGCTGTCTCACCTCGGCCTCTTCTTCCTCTGCGGTACAGCTGTCTATGAAGTCAATCTGATCCAGATCATGTTCCACTGTATACACCACACACACACCCACACACGCACACACACACCAGAAAAAACATTCGAATTAGATAGCCAATAAAAGACATTTACTTATTTCCTTTTCCCCAAGATTTTCTATTTTGAAAGTGGGAGGGATGATAAAAACTTTAAATTACTTAAGTCTTTTTTTTACCCATTTTATGTCCAAGGTTGGTGGCTCATGCCTGTAATCCCAGCACTTTGGGAGGTGGAGGCAGGTGGATCACCTGAGGTCAGGAGTACGAGGCCAGCCTGACCAATATGGTGAAACCCCGTCTCTACTAAAAATACAAAAATTAGCCGAGCTTAGTGGTGCAGGCCTGTAGTCCCAGCTACTCGGGAGGCTGAGACAGGAGAATTGCTTGAACCTGGGAGACGGAGGTTATAGTGAGCCGAGACCATGCCACTGCACTCTAGCTTGGGCAACAGAGCAAGACTCCGTCTCAAAAACAAAAAAAAAGTAAATAAATTTTACTTATATTTTATTTTGTTTTTCTTTTTTTTGAGACAGGGTCTCACTCTGCCACCCAGGCTGCAGTGCAGTAGTGCAATCTTGGCTCACTGCAACCTCTGCTTCTCACGTTCAAGCGATTCTCCTGCCTCAGCCTCCCAAGTAGTTGGGATTACAGGTGTGCACCACCACGCCCAGCTACTTTTTCTATTTTTAGTAGAGATGAAGTTTCACCATGTTGGCCACATTGGTCTCAAACTCCTGTGCTCAAGCAATCTGCCCACTCTGGCCTCCCAAAGTGCTGGGATTACAGGCGTCGGCCACCGAGGCTGGCACCTGAGTGTTTATTATTTAGTTCATAGTCACTCACAAAAATAGGCTCCAGAAAACCTTAGTCCTAGTTCACTAAAGAACATAGTAATTGATGATAATTATTGAAATAGAGACCTCTAACATTTTTCTTTGGACAGCTCCTTACTGTTTTAAACACAGTAGTTTGAGTTTGTGAGACAAAGAGCAAGACCAGTTTTTAAAGACTGAAGGGCACATCTTCGTGTTTTAGGTCTGGGGCTTATTATCTCTGGAGGAGACAGCAGGTGGAAAACTGAACATAGTCAACTCCAGAAGAAAGTAAAAGGCCACACACAAAAAAGGGAAAAGGTAAGAGTAAACTAGACTTGAGAAAGAAAAGAGTTTCTGACTACTATCTCCCTTCCAGTAATTGTTGTCAATTAAACAGAAACAAAAAAGATCAGAACAAAGACTGTCCTATTTGGAAAACTATCTGCTAGAGGTCAGCAATGTAGATATTTTATAATAGTTTTTGGATGGGAAGGGATTCATTTGACAAATTTTTTCCCCTCAAAATGCTTTAGGGTGAGGAGAAGTACATAAATTATTTTTAGCCACATCGTTCATCTATTAAGTTTGGGAATCCCCCATTATTTTTAAGTTTAAAAGTAATGAAACAACTACTTAAAATGGCACACTAGAAAAAAAAACTTGCTACTAAGACAGTTTCTCCAGAGACGCATTAAACCACAACCTGTTACTTTATGACGTTCTACAGGCTGCCTAAAAATCGCAGTTGCTGGAGCAGTGAACCTGGAGAAGCCTCTTTCTCAAACTAGTCTTCTGACTCATTTATAAATAATTCTGTGAATGCAATTAATATAAAATGAATTATGAGTTATTAGAGTTTTATTAATAGCTAAAAAAGATGAAAAGGTTACAAGTTTACATCCACATTAGAAGCCAGGTAAATAAATGCATTTTTTTTAATTTGCTAACACTTGTCTGACTAAATACATGTTTATATTAAGACCATTTCTGAAGAAAGCAACTTTACTTCTTCATACAATCTAGACAAGTGTGGCCAAAGAGAAAAATAACACAAGCCATAAAGGTGAACCACATACGTCATTTGAAATTTTCTAGTAGTCATATTTTTTAAAGTAAAAGAGGCAATATTAATTTTAATATATTTTACATTGTCCAATATGTCTAAATATCACTTCAACATATAATCAATGCAAAATATTACTACTTTATATGCTTTTTTTTCAAATGAAGTCTTCAAAATCTGATGTGTGTTTTAAACTTACAATACGTATCAATTTGGAAAAACCACCTTTCTTTTTTATTTCCTTTTATGAGACACAGTCTCATTCTGTTGCCCAGGATGGAGTGCAGTGGCGCGATCTTGGCTCACTACAACGTCTGCCTCCTGAGTTCAAGTGATTCTCCTGCCTCAGCCTCCCCAGTAGCTGGGATTACAGGCATGTGCCACCCATCTGGCTTATTTTTCTATTTTTAGTAGAGATGAGGTTTCACCATGTTGGCAAGGCTAGTCTCAAACTCCTGACCTCAAGTGATCCACCTGCCTCAGCCTCCCAAAGTGCTGGGATTACAGGTGTGAGCCACCATGCCCAGCCTAAAAAAACACATTTCAAATACTCAATAATTACCACATGTGGCTAGTGGCTACCATACCGGCACAGATCTCAACATTATTTTAAGTCTTAAATAAACTGATGGAGAAAGATACCTCATACGAGAGAAACACTGAAGACTACTGAAATGTAAATGAAAAATGGTAACGACAGGAGGAAAGAACATAAGATGGTGAGGAAAAAGACAGCAAACCATTTAATTGAAATCATCACGCAGAAATGAAAGCTCTTCTCAGATAAGTAATAGGTTTCTGGAAAAATCAAAGTCATTTTCCCTTATAACTGGCCCTCAAAATTTAAATATGAAGTTAAACATTAAACATTAAATTCAAACCAATTCAAGCAATACAGAATGGAATGCGAAAATCAAGAGTCTGCTTCAGAAAGTATAAGCAAGTAGAGTGCTACTTGCTAATGAACTACAAATTTTTTAATGTCAGAATAAGGAAAACTGCGATTCAGACGCCCTTGAAGAGCATCTGACAATTCCAAGTGAAGAAAAGGTAAACGCTAAAAAAAAAATGCACTAAATTTCTAAAAGGGATCAAATAATGACCACAGCAAGAATCTTAAAAATGGAGAATGGTACTTCAAAAGGTCATGGTTAAATCCAGATTAATGAAGATCTACTTCAGGTGTACTGTCTCTAATAAAGTTTCCTCCCAAAATAAAAATAAGGGAGAAATACTATATTTTAACTCTGACTGAAACCAGAAATCATAGTTTCATCCCAATGGAAAATAGCATTTTTCAATCATATATGAAAAGAAGTATTTAAAAGAAGAGTGAAGAAGCTATAGGTACACAAACAAAAGCAGTGGGTGTGAAAAAGACAACTTTAAAAAGTTAAATGACTGCAAACACTTTCGATGTCACTGGAATTACGTTTACCTCCACCATTTGTTACCACTAAACTGCCGCGATTCTCTTGGTACTGGCTTTCCCTTCGTAGTCTTTGTTCTTTAGTCATCTCTGCTACTCGAAGAGGCAGATCGGAAAATTCATCTGTAGGCTTAAAAAGGAAGCAGAAACGTGAACAATTATTTTCCAGCCTGGCGGCTCACGCCTGTAATACATGCACTTTGGGAAACCAAACCAGGGGATCACTTGAGGCCAGGAGTAAATCAGCTGGGGGTGCTCACGCATGCCTCTAATCCGAATACTTGGGTGTTGAGACGAGAGCATCGCTTCAGCCCAGGACTTCGAGGCTGCAATGAGATAGGATTCCACCACTGCACTCCGGCCTGTGCGAACAAAGCGAGATCCTATCTCAAAAAGATAAAAACCTGGCCTGGAGTGGTGGCTGATGCCTATAATCCCAACACTTTGGGAGACCAAGGTGCGAACGATAAACCCAGGAGTTTGAGACTAGCCTGGGCAATACAGGGAGACCCCGTCTCTAAATTAAAAAAAAATTAATTAGCCGGGCGTGGTGGCATAAGCCTATAGTCCCAGCTACTCAGGAGGTTTATGTGGGGGGACTGCTTGAGCCATGGGCGTGCCACTGCACTCCAGCCTGGGTGAAAGAGCGAGACTCCGTCTCAAAAAAAAAAAAAGATTCATGACTCCATAAATCTATCCATATAGATTTAAAATATCTATGTATATATCTGTATCGATACAGCCACATTTATGAACCCACCCACCAAGACATACAAACACAATTCCAAATTACAAATGGGATGTGGTCTAAAATTAATTTGCTTTTGATTCACCATAAAACAATGTTATAAATAGTAGGTTATCAATCTTGCTAACAAAAGTTTATTTAATAACTTAATGCATCACTAAAATATTCACATTAGTAATTTTTATTTTTTTACTTTTTTTCTTCTGTAGACCTTCTCTGTGGACACACTAATTTTTAAGAGCAGAAAACATAATACAAATAATTTAAAAACCAGGAAAACGACAGAATTAGCTAGGAGGTTGTTCCTCCTGAGCACGTGAATACTCTTCACTAAGGTCCTCATCTCTACCCATCGGCCTGAAGTCCCACTTGTTCTCTCACCGTCTCTCGCCTCTGCTCAAGAACACCCCACCCTTCACATTTGAGGCTTCAGTTTCCACGGGCTCAGCTCCTGTTTGCCTTTCTATGATATGAAACTATTTCCATGAGACAATGAGGAAACAGACAGGTGGAAATACGCGTGATGGAAAGCCGGTAAGGAAGCAGAACACCAGTTCCAGCTGTAGAATGTGGGAATCTTCCCCCCACCTTGACTTTTCTGTATTTTATGTAGTGAGAAATTGAATCCGGTTAAGGCACTTTTCATTTTCATCATTTTATTTTCTCTTAATCAGGTGTTATAACACACGGATTATAAAAAACACTTACTTCATTCCCTGACCATCTCTTATCACCACTGTCCACGCTATTGAAGCCTGAATCAAGGGCTCCATACGGGCGACTTGAGTACAGTTCTTCATGGCTGCCAAAAAGAGACTTTGTTACTGCAAAGTTTGTTATTTTAACAATTAACATTTGAAATTAAACAGATCAGTTTTCTAAACAAACAAGCAGTCACTTAACTATTAGAACTAAATGGGCTTTAATTTTTTAATGTGAAAAATTCCAAATAGAAACAAAGCAAACAATAGTATGAGACCTCATGTACTCATTATTATCCAGCTTCAAAACAATCACACCTCTGCAATTCTTGTTCACCCAATGAGGCGAGTTTACTGGGACTGTGCTTTTAAGCAAAATTTGAGAGGTTCCAAGAGAAGGCCTGAGGGGTTCTCTTTGGAGTAAAGTCCATAAACATTATTTCACTTTCACTGAAACATCTATCCTGCTTGTTTAAAGGCCCAAGAATTTAATTCTTGCTACTTAAGACTGCTCTATACTCAGGAGGCTGAGGTGGGAGGAATGCTTGAGCTCAGGAGTTTGAGAGACCAGGCTGGGCAACACAGTAAGACCTTGTTACAAACAGAAGAGATTGTTCCACGGTTGGGACTGCCAAGCAGATGACCTTATAAGTCATGTTATGTAGCTGAGAGACTCATAGACTTATAAGTCATATGTCATGTAGCTGAGGGACTCAGACTTATAAGTCATGTTATGTAGCTGAGGGACTCAGACTTATAAGTCATGTTATGCAGCTGAGGGACTCAGACTTATAAGTCATATATTATGTAGCTGAGGGACTCATAGACTTAAAAGATACTGAAGTGATGTTAATGGTCAACAAATCCAACTCTTCCCTCCTTGTAGGAAAAATGAAACCCAAAAAGTATGAATGACTTGCCTTCAGCTAGTTATTTCAGCAGCAGAGCTAAAGTTAGTGTTCAAGTCACTCAGACCAGTAGTTTTCAACTGGAAGCCTCAAGGTGACATTTGGAGACATTTTTGTTTGTCACCTTGGGAGGGTACTACTGGCATCTGATGGGCAGATGCCAAGGACGCTGCTAAATGTCTTACAATGTACATGACAGCCCATCACAACAAAGAACTATCTGATATAAAATGTCAATAGTCCCAAGGTTGAGAAACCCTTAGAACTAGACTTTGCCAGATGTAGGTAATCAACACTACAATACAAGCATTCTGAGGATAACAGTGTTAAAACAGGTTATTTCCCTTTAGTCAAACATTCAGGCAAATTAAAGTATCCATTTTATTTGATTCCCTGTGCAAAAAATATGATAGGCAAAGAGACAGAATATACTTACCAGGAGCCAAAACCCAATGGTCTCCTATCATAATCTGGCAGATCTGGAGCAATCTTACAAGCTTGTATGTTCAGGTATTTAAATATGTGGACTTTGCCTTTTATACATATCTAAATAAAGTAACATAAATGTAGACAAATTATTACTCATCTGAAGTATGCTCCTTTTTATCATATCAACATTTTATGTAATGTACATTGGGAACAGGAGGCATTTCTATCAAGTACATACAGTAATATTAAAAAACGAATATTCTTATAACAAATTATATTATTTGGTTAAGTGTTATTTTAGGTGTTTAACTGGTAAATATAAGTTTTCATTTTCTAGTCACTAATAAATTTCAGTAATATATAAAATAAATAATTTTTGATTATACTGTTCAAATACCAAGTAAACTTATCACACTGATTAGTTTGCATAGTCAGAGATTTAAAGCATTTCTCCCCACTAGATTATGTGAAGCAACTTTTACTTTTAGGAATCCAACAATCATATACAATTATGTTTTTGATTTTGCTTTGAGAAAGAAGAGCAGGACATCATGAAATATTACATATATTTCTGTTACATGTATTTCTGTTGCTACTTGTTCCAGAAGTCAAAACACAAAGTCCTGAGGCTTATAAGACCCTTCTATTGTTAGGAAGTTTACTCATAAAGTTTTATAGTTGCCACAAAGAGTAGCACATGTGGCCGGGCGTAGTGGCTCACGCCTGTAATCCTAGCACTTTGGGAGGCTGAGGCGGATGGCTCACTTGAGGTCAGGAGTTCAAACAAGCCTGATCAACATGGTGAAACCCCGTTTCTACTAAAAATACAAAAAATTAGCTAGGTGTGGTGGCGGGGGACTGTAATCCCAGATACTCGGGAGGCTGAAGCAGGAGAATCACTAGAACCCAGGAGGTGGAGGCTGCAGTGAGCCGAGATCGCGCCATTGCACTCCAGCCTGGGCGACAGCAAGACTCTGTCTCAATAAAAAAAAAAAAAAAAAGCCAAGAGAAAATAATGAGTTGGCAAACATTTATAGGTTGTAGGATGTCCAGCATCTACATGTAAAGCTACCTTATAATTATTACTGTATAGCTTCATTTCAGTCACTGATAAACGACTAAAATGTCTAAACTAGGAATTTGTGACTTTTAGAATTAGGAAGGTTGTAATAACAATGATCAGAAAAAGAAATGTACTGATACATTTTAGCTCTGAAAGCTGAGTATTTTTATTTGTCTCGCCCTGTTGCCCAGTCTGGAGTGCACTAGTGTGATCTCAGCTCACTGCAGCCTCCGCTTCCTGGGTTCAAGCGATTCTCCTGCCTCAGCCTCCTGAGTAGCTGGGACCACAGGCACCCACCACCACACCCGGCTAATTTTTGTATTTTTAGTAGAAACAGAGTTTCACCATGTTGGCCAGGATGATCTCGATCTCCTGATCTTGTGATCCACCCGCCTCGGCCTCCCAAAGTGCTGGGATTACACGCATGAGCCACCACGCCTGGCCTGTCTCTAGCATTTATGGTGTCTACACTCAAATTTTACAAGAAAAATATTAAGAAATTAAAATTTTATTAGAACAAAATGTAGGGAAGAATTCTTCAATTTAAAAACAAATACCAATTTAGAGAAAGGAAAAACACTTCTGGAAACATTATCTTCCAATCCATTAATTCAAGGCTTCTCAAAAATACATATGCATGTGAATTTATTTTAAAAGAAGTTATTTTCTAACAGAATGATAAATGTACAGAAAATTTTAAATTTCATCCTTTGTCCAAAAAAAAGTCCATACCATGCTTCCACTATGGTTTACCTGACGCTTCCACTATGGTTTACCTGACGCTTCCACTATGGTTTACCTGACGCTTCCACTATGGTTTACCTGACGCTTCCACTATGGTTTACCTGACGCTTCCACTATGGTTTACCTGACGCTTCCACTATGGTTTACCTGACGCTTCCACTATGGTTTACCTGACGCTTCCTCTATGGTTTACCTGACGCTTCCACTATGGTTTACCTGATGCTTCCACTATGGTTTACCTGTGCAGGAGGTGACTGTAGTGGATTGTTATCTAGGGTGATCATCTGTAGGTGCCTGAGGTTCCGATAACAAACAGGGATTGTGGTAATTTTATTGCATGAGAAGTCTAACCGTATCAAAGGCAACTCTGCCAGCTCTGCATGAAGGTAAAATGGAAATGAACAATTAATGATGTTTTACAACTAAAGAATTTTCACAAAAGCTTCTAGTTAAATGTGATTTTAACACAGATACTTACTCCCATTCTCTTTTAGTGATTACCTGGTAGCAAAGTGGTAAAAATGTGACAAGTGGTAAAAATGAGATCTAGTTGCCTATAGATAGGATGACTAATAAAAAGCGAGCAGCTTTGACCCGCTCAGAACTACAGAAAGTCTCAGAAGCTGGAGGCCCTGATACCACAAGAAGATGAGGATAACAAAAGGATTAGATAACACTCTATATAAAGAACAGTTAAATGCCTGGGTCCACAGCCCCCACTAACGCAGCTGGGGCACTATCCTTCTCCAATGTTCCCAGCAGTCAGCAAGTTCTTTTCCAGTGCAATTGAACCAAAAATGCTCTGAACTCAGGGATCCCAGGCACAACGGAAAGTCAGGAGGAGTTGCCAGCTGAAAATGGAGAAGTCAAAATCTACACACTTAACATTAAGACCTCAGCACCTTCCCACCCCACCCTATCCTACTTCATCCCCAGGAATGGCCACAGTTAAGAATATACACAATAATATAGAAGAAATGGAGCTTCTTTCTCTGGTAAACCTCACAGTCCCATATATAAGGCTTTTATATAATGATACAGAATTTCTTCTAATAAAATGCACAGCTTGCTGCTTAATGACCATTATACAATTTCTGCCCAGTATACTCAGAACTTCTATTCAGCTATATAAAGATAGTATATGATCCACAGACATTTAGACATCTCCAACATCAAAACCAACCAACTAACCAAAAAAAGGAACTCAGAAGAAACAGGTATTTTATAGAAAGCAGAAGAAAATTTTGAAAAGCTAGACTACCTTTAGTTTCAGAAAGAGAAGGTCCTTAATCACTGAAACATAAAAGGAATGTTTTTTAAAAATCACAGAATAATGAGTTTGTAGAAATGAAAAAATATAATGGTAGCAATTAAAAATTCATGATGGTTGGAACTATTTTACCATAAGATAACACAAAACGACAAAGAAATGAATAATAAAAAAGATAAGAAAAATCATCAAAGAGGATCAACAAAGAGGTCTACTAACATCCAATTCAAAATAATTCGAAAAGGGGACAGAGAAACCAGAATAAACAAAGTTATCAAAAAAAAAAAAAAAAAAAAGATGTAAAACAATTTCCCAAAATGGATATGGATCTCTGGTTTGGAAAGGGGCCCACCAAGTATCCAGTACATTGAATTAAAACAGCTCATACTACGGCACATTCACATACGACTCCAGAGCAGCAGATAAACAGGGACCATCGTGAAATCTTCCCGAGAGCGAAAGCTGGTCACAGAGGACTGGGATTAAGAATGAACGGCATCAGATTTTCAACCATTAATTTTAAACACTGAAAGCGGAGAGTGAAAAAGACTTAAAAGTCTTGAAAGAAAAGTTTTCAACCTAGATTTATAATCCAATTATTAATCAAGGGGGGACACAGAATAGACATTTCTTTTCAAGTGAAGTCTCAAAAATATGTTCTCCTATGACGTGTTCTTGGGAAACTACTAGGAGATGTCCTCCAGCAAAACAGGGAGTAAACTGAGGACGATCCAGTCTAGGAATCGGAGTATTTAACACAGAAGAAAGCAAGCTGGGCAGCAGGCCGGGCACAGTGGCTCACGCCTGTAATCCCAGCACTTTGGGAGGCCGAGGTGGGTGAATCACAAGGTCAGGAGTTCAAGACTAGCCTGGCCAAGATGCTGAAACCCTGTCTCCACAAAAAATACAAAAGTTAGCCAGGCGTGGTGGCGGGCACCTGTAATCCCAGCTACTCGGGAGGCTAAGGCAGAGAGTCGCTTGAACCCGGGAAGTGGAAGTTGCAGTGAGCCGAGATCGTGTCACTGCACTCCAGCCTGGGTGACAGAGCGAGACTCCGTCTCAAAGAAAAGAAAAAAAAGCTGGGCAGTAATACTAGAGAACAGCCAGTCCGTATCAGAAGAGGAAAAAAGGGCTCAGTGAGGCAGAAGTGCACGGAAAAAAGGGATAGAGAATCTGACTGGTTTGACGAGGAAGACTGTTGGAAAAAGAGGGCAGAATTAGCAATACACACACACACAAATAAGCATATAAAAAGATAAGAAACTATTACCTCTAGAAAAAAAAAAAAAAACATGTACAAGAAAAGAAATAAAATCAGAGTACATCACTTGAATTGGCAGGGAACAATGTTTACATAATTATAGTAATGTGAACACTGAATAACAATTTAATCAAAAGTTGTGCTAAAACTACACTGGGAAGATGGGCGGAAGGCAGTAAAGGCATGGTATGTGATAGTGTAAGGAAACTAAATCCTCATCTATCACAACAGGAAGCTGACATAAGTGTCAAAGTTGCCCAAACCAGCAATAAATGTAAAAATGTATCAATTAGAAATATGTCAGCAGTCTGGACACTGTGGCTCATGTCTGTAATCAGCACTTTGGGAGGCTGAGGTAGGAGGACTGCTTGAGCCCAGGAGACCAGCCAGGGCAACATGGTGAGACCCTTGTCTCTACAAGACAATACAAAAACTTCTGGGTGTGATGGCACATGTCTGCGGTCCCAGCTACTTGGAAGGCTCAGATGGGAGGATGGCTTCAGCCCAGGGAGTTCGAGGCTACAGTGAGCTATGATCACGCCACGCACTCCAGCCTGGGCAACAGAGTGAGACCCTATCTCAAAAAAAAAAAAAAAAAAAAAAAAAGAGTCAAAGGAGTTTAATGAAGATACATACTTTTGGCCATTGAAATTGGTGTGCTGGGAAGTTTGAGGCAGGGGAACGATACTATTTAAGATTCTTGGCTGGACGCGGTGGCTCACGCCTGTAATCCCAGCACTTTGGGAGGCGGAGGCAGGTGGATCACGAGGTCAGGAGATCAAGACTATCCTGGGCAACATGGCGAAACCCTGTCTCTATTAAAAATACAAAAGTTAGCTGGGCGCGGTGGCACGTGCCTGTAATCCCAGCTACTCGGGAGGCTGAGGCAGGAGAATCACTTGAACCCGGGAGGCAGAGGTTGCAGTGAGCCAAGATGGCGCCACTGCACTCCAGCCTAGGCGACAAAGTGAGACTCTGTCTCAAAAAAAAAAAAAAGACTCAATATTTTTAAATATTTTTTGAATGATGTAACGTATTATTTGGTAAAAGTTAAAATTAACTTTAAATCAAAATGGCAACATAACAAAAGATAAATGATATCTACCAAATTGCAATGTTAGAAATTAAACTTCCACACGAATGAATGTAGCTGTTGGAATAAAGCTTCACCTGCCAACTCAGTTCAACTATATGTGCTGAGATTATAAAATAAACTGTTAAAAAAAATTGAAACTATTTGTGTGATAAACCATTTTGTCAGCAGTCTACAATCAAAGTAAGATACAGAAATAAATTAGCTGATAAAACTATTAAGCTTCCATTGTCATCTGAAATTCTCAATTTTCATTTTGATTAAAACCCTAATATTTTCATTAATTGATTTCACACTAAATAAATATTATTATAGGAGTAAGTATTTGAAGACCAATCATAGTAGGTGAGTCCTGAGTACAGAGGTAACCCTAGAGAGAAATTTGGGGTTATAAGGTCCTAGAGGTCATGATTTTGGTTTTGCTAACCTTCATTTACATTCCTGAGTTGGTAGCAAACAGACCCAGGAGAAAATAAGGCCCTGAGGATAAAAGGTGGGAAGGTTCCTGGACAAGCCAAGTGAGATGAAAGACATGTGAGATTTTGGTTGCAGTAAAGTATATAAAAGTGACTGAAAAGGTCACGTTCTTACACATTTACTTGGAATCCAAAATGTCAAAGCTCCACTAGTACTTTAGAACTAAATATTATGCTGGACCAAATTGGTATAAATATTTGAATTCTACAGGGAAAGTGAAAACATCATTAGTTAATTCAACATGTATTGTGGCCAGGCGCAGTGGCTCACACCTGTAATCCCAGCACTCTGAGAGACTGAGGCAAGTGGATCTCTTGACCCCAGGAGTTTGAGACCAGCCCGGGCACAATGGCAAAACCCATCACTGCTAAAAATACAAAAATTAGCTGGGCATGGTGGCGAGTGCCCGCAGTCTAAGCTACCTGGGAGGCTGAGGTGAGACGATCACCTAAACCTGGGAAGTCGAGGCTGCACGAGCCATGTTCATGCCACTGCACTCTAGCCTGGGTATTGGGAGTGAGACCCTGTCTCAAAACAAACAAAATATTAATTGTACACTGTAGTCATATTTTGTCAAAGAACCTAGAAAATCACTGTCATGAAAACACCTTGAGAAGACTCATTGGTATTTTACAATACATTTCTGTATATGATTCAAATTAATCTAGAGAACAGTGCAGGGGAAAGTAAATGAGAGCACAGCAGAGACAAGACTTGCGATGAGCTGATGACTCTTACTGCTGGGTGATGAGCAGAAACATGTAGAAGAAATATATATTCTGGATCTCATAAAATAACAGCTCTCATTTTCATCTTCCTTTCTAGCATTGTGTTTATTAATTTGTGAAAGATTGATAAATTAGACTTAATTGTTTAATCATTTTTATCATTCAAATATGTATTTGAATGATATGGCTTGTAGTCAGCCTGAGTAAGATAACCTGTCTCTCAGCGCAGTCTCTCACCCCATTTACCATTCACTCTACACATCACCTCTACACGGTTCATTAGCCTCTGTTTGAACATCTCCAGTGACGGGTAAAGTTCAGTTCAGGTCAGAGTCCATTTTTAAGTGAGTGCTAACTGCGGGAATGTTTTTCATTATACTACATACTATCTCCTTATCCAAACATGTTACATTTCCCCCAAACAGTCATGCTTACTGAAATTTCCAGTGACCCTACCCTGAGTTACTGATTACATTGGTTGACAATATCTAAAAATAAAATCAAAGGCCAAGAGTTATCAAACCTTTTCATTGAAGAGGCTTTTAAAATCCACAGTGGAACAGATAACACTATTAAATAAACCATTAGATTTCAAACACTGGAGGTAACACACTGTCACACACACACACACACACACACACACACACACACACACACTCTCTCTCTCTCTCCTTTTTTTAAACAGGGTCTCTTTCTGGTGCTCAGGCTAGAGAGCAGTGACGCCACCATAGCTCACTGCAGCCTTGGCCTCCTGGGCTCAGGGACTCCTCCCACCTCAGCTTCCTGAGTAGCTGGGACTACAAGAGTATGCCAGCCCATGGGGCTAATTTGTTAATTTTTTGTAGAGACAGACTCTCTGTGTTGCCCAGGCTGGTCTGGAATTCCTGGGTTCAAGCAATCTTCCCTCCTCTGCCTCTGAAAGTGTTGAGATTACAGGCATGAGTCACAGTGCCCAGCCTGGATATAACCCTTATACATTTTTGTCTTGATTAGTCTGAGAGAGCTTAAAATAATAATAATCATTTCATAGTTTCTTACCTTCAGGCAAATGTACTAGGTGATTTCTTCTTACATTAAGGTCTCTCAAGGCCTCCAGGTTACCAATTTGGGAAGGTATAGTTTGAATTTCATTGCAGCTCACATCCTATTTTGAAAAGATACAAAATAAAGATTGTCCTAACATTACAAACTTGTCTGCTTTAAACTGTCTATAAAATTAGGTATGTTTGGGAGCCCTTCTGGTATCTTAATAGCTTAATTCAACAGTTCTGACAAGCGACTACCTACAGGCTCCAAGATTAATAAATTCAGAATACCGTAAATCTGAGGTCAGCCAAGGTAATTTGCAAACACATCGTTATGTGAACAGAGGGAAGCTGCCACATTAACACTTAAAACTGTGCCAATACGACTGAAAGAAATCACACATTTACTATTCAGAAAAGGCCGCCTGCTGCCGAGTGTGGTGCTCACACCTACTCCCAGCACTTTGGGAAGCTGAGGCGGGTGGATCGCATGAGCCCAGGAGTTTCAGACCAGCCTGGGCAACATGGTAAGGACTCGTCTCTATTTTCTTTTTTTAAAAAAGAAAGAAGAATAAAAAAAGACCACTTGCTAAATTTTTCAATAAGCTTCAAACGTTTTTTAATATTCTTAAAATATGCTTAGAGAAAAGACTAGTTTTACTTTTCCTACCAATTAATAATTGAAGTAGAATCAGAAGCTAGACTTTTTTTTTTTTGAGACGGAGTCTCGCTCTGCCGCCCAGGCTGGAGGTGCAGTGGCTTGATCTCGGCTCACTGCAAGCTCTGCCTCTTGGGTTCCAGCAATTCTCCTGCCTCAGCCTCCCAAGTAGCTGGGATTACAGGCACCCACCACCATGCCCAGCCAATTTTTTAAATTTTAGTAGAGATGGGGTTTCACCATGTTGACCAGGCTGGTCTGAAACTCCTGACGTCAGGTGATCCACCTGCCTCGGCCTCCCAAAGTGCTATGATTACAGGCAAGAGCCACCGTGCCTGGCCAGAAGCTAGACTTCTTAGTCCAACGCTCTAGGCATGAAAAGGGTTCTAAAAGAAGTTGAAAGGATATAGGTTCAAATCCTAGCTAGAAAAAAAGTTGAAGGGATATAAAAATTGAGTTTGAGCCAAAAGGTAACAGCAATATATAATCTCTCAGAAAATATGTATGTAGAAAACAGCAGTTTGCTTTCACTTACTGAAGAGGAAAAAAATAGTGAGCCAACAAGGATGTTGCTGAAAGACCATCAGATGGGAATGGAGAGCTTTAGGGACGCTCATTCATGAATTTTTTTCTTTTTTCTGAGACGGAGTCTCACTCTGTCGCCTAGGCTGGAGTACAGTGGTGTGATCTCAGCTCACTGCAACTCTGCCTCCCGGGTTCAAGCGATTCTCCTGCCTCAGCCTCCCAAGTTGCTGGGATAACAGGTGCCACCATGCCTGGCTAATTTTTGTATGTTTAGTATAGATGGGGTTTCACCATGTTGACCAGGCTGGTCTCGAACTCCTGACCTCAGGTGATTTGCCTGCCTCGGCCTCCCAAAGTGCTAAGATTACACGCGTGAGCCACTGTGCCCGGCCAGGACACTAATTCTTACTCTGCCACAAGTTCCTTATATGACTGAGGATATCAATTAACCTCTTTTGTAGAAAACTAAAAGCTTCTGTAACACATCTCTATCTTTTAAGTATTTAGGACTGAATAAGTAGAAACAAAATGTTTAAATGATTTGAAAATAAGAATTTGAATTAGAGTATAGTTTACTTCTAGTTCATGTTTTTAACCCAAGTTCTGAAGAGATGCTGATAAACATACATTCTGATCTTTATGTCCTAGGTCTAACTGGCTCCAAAAATAGTGGTCTAGAATGTAGACTCTAGTTTTAATCTATTTGTGGATTTTCACAAGTAACCTCTTATATTCACAATCTAACTGAAAAAAGCGATTCACCTATATTACATACGTATTAATTTATGATAACCATCTTCCATCTTTGTTAATAAACCTACATGAAAACATACCCCTAATCCTAATGGATGTAATTGTATTTGACCACTTCAGAACGACTTAAGGTAGTCTGGTTTCAAATACTACTTCTGTTATATAACCTTAGGCAAATTATTTAACCAATTTTGAGTGCCAGCTTCCTCAGTTATAAAATGAAAATAATTTTAGTAATCAATTCATTATCATGGTGATTAAATGAGAAAATTGTTATTCCCATGCTCAGAAGGTAAATACTCAAGAAGTGATTAGGTGAAGGAGTTCAATTAAGTGTCTTAGAAAATACACGGCAATAGGGCCGGGCATGGTGGCTCACGCCTGTAATCCCAGCACTTTGGGAGGCCGAGGCGGGCGGATCACAAGGTCAGGAGATTGAGACCATCCTGGCTACCACGGTGAAACCCTGTCTCTACTAAAAATACAAAAAATTAGCCAGGTGTGGTGGTGGGCGCCTGTAGTCCCAGCTACTCGGGAGGCTGAGGCAGGAGAATCCCTTGAACCCAGGAGGCGGAGCCAAGATCCCAGTGAGCCAAGATTGCGCCACTGCACTCCAGCCTGGGCCACAGAGTGAGACTCCGTCTCCAAAAAAACAAAACAAAAACACATAGCAATGAAGTATATTTTACTTTATAATGTGGGAGATAGGTTCTAAAGATATAATGTAAGGCAAAAAATAAACCTAACCTTTGTAGTGCCATTCCCCTATAGGAGCTAATAAAAAATCAGAATATTGATGATACAAATACATTTATTTTGAAAAATTCAATTATATTAACATATCTCAAAAATTTAATGACACAGAAATCATCTAATATTGCTTAGAACATAATTCTAATGCCTTTTTCCCATCTGTGTGGGCTGATTAGGCTTGTACTTTCAGTTCTTAGTTCTGTGTGCCAACCACTTGAGTACTGAGAATTCAGTACATGACTCATTACCAACACTGGAAAATAAGTCAAAAACGTATCTCAATAATAAATCTTGGCCATATAAGAGACTATAGTACGACTTTGTAGACATCTCTCTCTCCAAGGTTTCATACACACACACACACACACACACACACACATGCTGGACGATCAAAAATATTAACTTACAAGTTCCATCAAATGTCTGAGGTGTCCAATTTCTTCTGGAAGTGACACCAATTTATTATTACTAGCAATTAAGACTTTCAACGGCAAATTACACAAGTGTACCGGCAATGTTGACAGTTGGTTCCGACTAAATGGATAAGCAGAAAGAAGAATCAGAGTCCACCACTGAAGAAAAATTTTCCCTCTTTCTCACTCTATACTCAGTAAAATAACAAATATGAGTCTTGCAAGAAACAAACAGGGTACTGGAGTTCTAGCCTTCGTTTTACTGGTGGTCGCTTTATGGTTACAGGCACAGTGTTGAACTTAATCTGCATCTTACAGAAATTTCTCATCTGTAAACTGAAGATCTTCGTATCTCCCCACCTACCTTACAGGGCTCCTGCACAAGAAAACTCCTTGGTAGACAATGAAGTGCCACATAAACATAAACACAGTATTGTTTTATTAAAGTACAATTCATGCAGGAACATATTTTTTAAAAGGTGGATAAGATCATCCTCCTTCCTTCTGAAGATTTCTTTTTTTTTTTTTTTTTTTTTGAGACAGAGTCTCGCTCTGTCACCCAGGCTGGAGTGCAGTGGTGCAATCTCAGCTCACTGCAACCTCCACCTCCCGGGTTCACGCCATTCTCCTGCCTCAGCCTCCCAAGTAGCTGAGACTACAGACGCCCGCCACCTCGCCTGGCTAACTTTTTTTGTATTTTTACTAGAGATGGGGTTTCACCGTGTTAGTCAGGATGGTCTCGATCTCCTGACCTCATGATCCACCCGTCTTGGCCTCCCAAAGTGCTGGGATTACAGGCATGAGCCACCGCGCCCAGCCTGAAGAAGACTTCTAAATAAAACTTGTAATCTGTTTCCCTCATCATTACAATATTATAATCAAATGCACATAAATGGTGAAAATATGGCAGTAAGTTGTGATTTCATAGATCATACCAAGTTACAGGTAAAGAATTTTTATTTATACAAAAACATGCAAACCAGAACTAAAAGTACAATAATAAAACACATCTATCGGCCGGGCGCAGTGGCTCACGCCTGTAATCCCAGCACTTTGGGAAGCCAAGGCAGGTGGATCACCTGAGGTCGGCTCAGTAAAAGATCTACAAACTGTCTCGTGCGCCTCACGAGGACAAGATCTGGGGATTACAGCGCTCCTAAGGAGCAACCCCATAGGCCTGACTATATTTGTATTTTACATGATTAGATTAAAGTACGATAGATGTTTATAGCACCAAGTTGGCCAGGCAGCGTGGACTTCAACATCCTGTACTCCAATTGATCCGCCTAGTGCCATCTGGCCTCTACTAATAGTGCTGTGGATCTACATGCGTTGATAGACCACCGTAAGGTGGCCGGTTTCATGCCATTTTCTGCGGTATCTAATTAATCGCTATAAATTAGATATTATATAATCGCTTTTTTCTAGAGTGTATACGTGGAGTACTGTCACCTGATTGCCAGGCTTGTCTTCAAACTCTTGGCCTCATAGTACCATCCTGGTCTCAACCTCCCAAAGCTTTGAGCATCACAGGCGTGAGCCACTACACTTCAGCTGCGTACAGGTTCTTTTTCTTTCTTTTTTTACTATTTCTTTCCTTTTTGGTTTTTTGATTGAGATATAGAATGTCTCTCTCTACTCTGTCTCCAGGCGGAGCGGCAGTGGGTGAGATCTCACCACTGCAACCCCTGAGCCGCCTCTGCCGAGGCTCAAGAGTGGATGTCTTCTCGTCGCAACTTCAGCTTGCACTCAATGGTAGCGACTGGGATGGTACGGTGTGTCTGTCAGGCTCACACCTACCAGCCTGCGCTAATTTTTATTTATATTTGATTAGTAGGAAAGGGTTTTGCTAATATCAAGCAGCGCTCTAGGTCTCAAAAACCTTGACCCCAAGTGACCGCATCCTCCATTGCTCTGCCTCCAAAGTGCTGGATTCGACGATGGCCATTCGATAAGCACCTGAGTAAGGTTTCTTTTGCGGTGAAATGAAAGTGCGCTCTGGAATTTAGGGCTAGTGGTATGGTGTCATGGCTCTGTGAAGTATATCCCAAGAACCTTGTCTGCAACTGACTAACTTTTAAGTGAGTGAATTATTATCATCTGGTGTATCGTGCCAATATAGCCAAGTACTTCAAGGTTTCTATCTTAAAATAATCGCGCATGGGTCAACGCGGCCTGAGGGGTTCTTGCTGGAAAAATGTTCTGTTGCCTTTGCCTGCGTGCTGGCTACACTCCAAGCATTACAAGTTCCTCACATTCACGCCTTTCTGCAGCGAGAACCATCAGGATAGACACTTATGGAATCATAGAACCTTTGTATATCACTAATCATACCCGGACACTTGAATAAAAGCTAATGTGATATAAGTAATATTAGTTGTAAACATGTAGGAACATACGAGGAAACAGGGTTTCACCATGTTGGCCGACTGAGACTCTAACACCAGGCTGCATCAGAGTACACAACATTACAGAACAAACCAGGCCGATGGGCTGAGAAAAAAAAAAAAAAAAAACAAAAAAACAAAAAAAACAAGAAAAAAAGTCCA